AATCGACATAAATTTCTTTCGACCCCGTGCGTTGCACGGGTCAGAATACTAGTATATATGTAAAATAGAGTTTTGTTGTTGTGGTGTTGACATGTGGCATGCCACATGTGCATCCACATGTACACTAATTAATGAGGTGGAGGCTTTTTATTGGTTCATTAAACTTCTTTTTAAAAAGATTTTTTAATACATTTTATTTTATTATATTAAATGAATATTATTTTTTAGCAATAAAAAACATTACTTTGATAATATTTTTATAAAATATTAACATTTTCTAACAATTCTATAAACCTATATTTCAGCATTGTAAAATATATTCCGTATTTTAAACATGCATATTGATTGTAACATTTGAAAGAAGAGTATGTATAAGACTCTTTATTATTAATTTAAATATATTTCACTTTCAGAAAAATGAAAAAACATTTCACCTTCAAAGTTATTAAATATATTTTGGCATTTTTATGTTTTATTTAATGTAATTTTTTTATAATAAAATAGTTATAGAATTTTTAGTGAATGTACATCAATATTTAAAGTATACCTTTTATTTAAAAAATAAACTCCCTATATCTTGGAGTGAAAAATATTCATTTAAAATAAAAAAATTATATTTATAGAATGTCAAAAGTTTAGAATGTATATGAGCCCGTGCGAAGCACGGGGTTATTACTATTACTAGTATATATGTAAAAGAAAGTTTAATTGTTGCAATGTTGACATGTGGCATGCCACATGTGCATCCACATGTGCACCCATTTATGAAATGGATATATGCATTGCACCTATTTTAAATATCTTTTAATACATTTGTATAAAATTTTTCATTCTTTAATAATTCTGAATATATATTTCACCATTGTAAAATAAACTTCGTATTTTGAGTACACACACATAAAATTATTTTTATACTATCCACAACTTATTTTAGTTTATTACTACTCGAAAAATGATTGTATAAATTTAAAGGGTGACAACTGACAAATGACATTATGACACATATATATTCTCTAATGATGTATCATTATGCATGTAACTGATCCACTTTTTATTATAATATTTTATTAATTCAAACCGTTTCTATTTAGTACTTAATTCAATGATTATTTATTTTGTAAAATTGTTTTTTTAAATTAACATACCAATAAACTCTGTATGTTCCATCAGTCTAAAACATTTTTTGTCACTATTAGAAACTAAAACAACTAAAATTATATCTATAAAATCTCAAAAAATTAGAATATATATGAGCCCGTGCGAAGCACGGGTAAACAGTAGTACTCCGTAATGCAAAAGAGTCAAAAATTGAGAAGTGCATATATTTGGGTCCCGCTCATTTTTAAAAATCTGAATTCCCAAAATTCCCCGGGTTGACGGTTTATAAAAACCGAACAAATCCCGGTAGCCGTCGTCAGGACAAAACTTAAGAAACTCCGGCGGCCGGCGATATGTCGAAACTCGAATTCTCAATCGTATTTTTTTTCATCTCCGTGGTCATATGGGCCATTCTCTTCTTCGCCTTATTTTGCGCTTTTTTTGCCTTCCACCGGTGGATGTCCGGCTGGGTGGCGGGGCCGGCGTACAGGGGATTGAGCAGAGGCGTCCTGGATTCGCTGCCGGTGGTCAGTTTCGCGGCGGAGCATTCCCGGGAGTTCTCGGAATGCCCGATCTGTCTCGCCGAATATTCCGCCGGAGAAAAACTACGGGTGCTGCCGGGGTGCTGCCATGGCTTCCACGCGCGGTGTGTCGATGCGTGGCTGGTTTCGCGCGCGTCTTGCCCGTCTTGCCGGCGGCTCCTCGTCGTTCCGGCGGAGGGACAGGCACTTCACAAAGAACTTCCAGTATAGCTTGTTATTGTATACTCTTTTTTTTTTGTGTTTCTTTTTAGAAATGCATTCCAACGAAGAGAAGAAAAAATTAATTAATCAATTAATTTAATTTTTTCATTTCATTTACTCTTGATAAAAATTTGTTAACTTTGACTTCAATATATGCCTACAAAATGTATTGTGTTTCAACGGATAAATTAATGAAACATATTCCGTTGTTAACGTTGGATAAAACTATTCAATAAATATTTCATTCACATGATATTTTTTACATTAAATTAACAATCTAAAACTTACTTTCAAATTTATTAAATTATATTTATAATTTTTATATCATATTCTTATTTTATAATATTTAAAATTAATTTGTATACTTAATGAGTTTTATTTCAAAAAACAACTAAATTGAGAAAAAACACTCCATTCGAAAGAATTATTTTAGAAAATTAGCATAAGTTTAAATGTTCTTTCGATGATCGACTAACCGTTAGTCATAATCAAAACAGAGCATTATTTTCAGTAATTAATTCATAATTAGGTAGTCTAATTTGGACAGAAAGCTGTATTTTAAATTTATAATTTTGACCAAAATCATTTTGACTAATTAAATTTATAATTTTGATAAAAAGCTGTGTTTTAAATTTTTAAGGAAATTTTGAAATTTTGTTTTATTCTGTCATCTTTGTGTATGAAACACTATACATGTATAAAAATAAAAAAGAAAATATTTTTTATTCCTCTATTTTCTAAAAAAAATGACCTCCAAAAAAATAGCAAATCAAATAGTGAACATAGATATGACATGAATTATAAATTTTTTTTATATAAATTTGGATATGATATTTTATTGTAGCTAGACTATTTTTAGATACGAATGGTTTTTTTGAAAAAAATTGTATTTTAGCAATAACTCCCATACTCTAAAGTTTATAGTCGTATATAATACGTAGTTTATAGACTATAGTACATAGATTATTTGATACGGTACTTTACATAATTATTTTTTTGAAAGGTAATAAAAAGAAAAAATGGTCAAATACTAGACATGCACATATACATATATATATACTGAGTATGTTTTAACTATAAATATAATATTTTAATAGTAGGTACAATAAATAAATAATAATTTGATTTTTTTAACTAACTCTTATGATATTGTTTTGAAAAAAAATTAGAATTTTAATATTGATGCAAATGTATTATATTTCATATAAATTTATATTTTTAAAATGAAATAAAAAGGGAAAATGGTGTAAAAATTCATACAAAGTGTTGTCTTTTAAAAATTTAATAAAGTTTATATAACATTTGAAAAAAGTAATCAAATAATAAGACATTAACATATATTTTAAAGTGATGAAAGACATATTAGTATAACATTTAGATGATGAAAAGTTTTATTTATACAAATTTACTATAATTAAATACAGTAATCATGAATAGTTTTTTAAATAAAAATATTCTAATAAATGTCATGTAGACCAATAATAATGACATTATGCCGTGTGGATAAAAAATAGAGAATTTACCTAGATAGGACTAAATAATACGGAGTACATTTTTCTTCATATTGTATAATAATATATTACTTTCTCAATTTTCTATTTAACTTGTTTCTAAAATTTATTCCTTTTCATTTTTAAGAAAAAATTGTGTTTCATGTCATTTTATTTTTCTTTACATAAATTATATTCGCACAAAAATTTCATTATCTTTGTTCTTATATTTTTTCAAGAGAAATTTATTTTTTTAAAAAGAATCGTATCAAGTGAAACAAGTAAAAATTATGAAATTTAAAAAGTATGGAGTAATAACGATAATGATAACGATAACGATAATGATGATAACAATAATAATAATAATAATAATAATAATAATAATAATAATAATTCTTGATTGGATCAGATCAGTTCTGGTATGATCTGATTGGATATGATCTGATCTACTCTGATCTAATAAGATTTGGGGATAAGGACCAAAATAGAAGTAAAACATTGACTATATACCAAAATAGGAGTAAAAAGATAAAATCCCCAAAATAGGAGTTGCTAACTCACCTTCAATAATCACAAAACTAACCTCCTACGTTTCAAACAATTAACTGGGGTGCTCTTATGCGGAAAATGTCAAAAGGATCAGAGTTCTCATCATCATCATCAAAATAGCCCCTGTGACCTTCCAAGTTCTCATTCCTATGGAGGCTATAGGGTGAGCCTTTAAATTTTTAGTCACCGCTACTCATCTTCTTATTCCGTACTGTCGCAAGAGAGATAAGGCCACTAAATTGATTCCCACTTCTTTTACACTACTTCGTTGATCTCAGTATTGATGGAACACAAAATAACAGAGCAAGGCGAAGAGATCATAATCCCAAACATGGCCGCATATAATCCCAAACATGGCCACATATAATGTCATATATGGCAATGGATAATGCCATAGATTACCATATAATGTCACATATGGTAATGCACGATGTCACAGTTTACCAAATATAATGTCACTGTGCATAATTCGAAACATCAAACAAATGAATAATGTCAAACTCAACCATTGACATGCAATAATATAACCGGTGACCATCATCGATCTCATGGCTATCGTTATGGCAGCCGGATGACCAACCGTCATTTACAACGATTGGCCCTCATTTTCCGACATTGAATCGCCATCCGAAATCCTTCAAACAAAGCTCAAGGTAAATAAAAATTTAATTAAATATCAATAGGGAACCCAAACATTTCTAAAACTGTGATTTGAGAAAGGGAGATAAGGCGACATGGCAGATTTGTGTGCGGGGGCACTACGAATTGAGATGTTGTAGGTGACGGTGGTTGCAATGGTGCTGCATGAGCCGAAAATTGTTATGAATCGAGGGAAGGGAATCGGCACAAGGGGAAGGGATGAAAGGAATCGGCAGATTTTTTTTCCCTTTTTCGATTGAGTCGTGCGTGGGAATTAGTAGATATTTTTCATATTTAATTACTCCTATCTATTTAGAGGAGTTTAAGTTTGAGCTCATACTTTAAGGATATAACATATGTTTTACTCCTATCTTATTTGGGGGGTTTTCTTAAAGATCTAATTAGATACGAGTATGATTTTATTTGATCTGGTCTAATCTGATCTATAAAAAAAATAAGTTGAAATCACTTTTTTTGGTTTTTGCTTTATCCTCACGCATTTTTTCTTTCCATTTTATTGATTTTTAAAAAAAAAAGTTGAAAAAACTTTTGAAAGTTGGGGCCGCCGGACCGCTGCTCTAAAACCCCTCCGTTAGGGCTTTTCCCTCCGCCGGATCCCCGAAATCACTGCGATTTTCTCTGTAACCATTTTATCCACTCTGAGCTCCAATTGAACGGGCGAAGATTCGGGAAGAGCGATGGTGTCACCGAAGCAGCTTCTCTCCTTGATAGAGTCCTCCCTGCTGGGCCCCACACCGCCTTCGCCGTCGCAGAGGGTGGAGCTGCTTCACGCCGTCCGCCAGTCCATGCCTCGTCTACGTTCCCTTGTTTCCTACCCGGTATTCTATCACTAGCTCGTATATATAAGTGTTGATTTTGGGCGGACAATGCTAATGCACTGAGTTGAGTTTTGAGTTCTGTGATAGCTAAGACTTTCAGCTCACATTTCAACATGGATATCAGAACTGTGATAAAATTTACTGATTTGGAGAGGCCTAGTTGCTCATCAAGTTTTCTACTTCTATTGAAGATTGTTTGGAGTTTGAAGCTTTATTGCTATTTTTTTTCTTTATTAAGGCGAGGGAATTATGTGGGTTGCCATTACATCTGCATGTGCTGTATTTTATCTATCTAGGAAGATTGCCATTTAGCTAATTATTTGATTGTTGGAGAATATTTTAATATACTGTATTTCCCCACACAGGCACCAAATCCCTCAGACAGAGTGCAAGTACAGTCTAAAGAAGTCAGGCTTCCAGATTCTGGGCGGATATCACTTGATGACCAGGATGTTCAGATTGTGAGTTAGACCCCAAATTTCTTGCTTTTGTCTCTTTAAACAATTGTGTAATGTTTATGTTTCATAAGACATGCTACGGATATTGTTAGAATCACCTGATTATATACATAACATATGCTGACTGTCAATATCAATGCACACAATGCAATCTGTACTGTCCATGTGGCAGGTCAATTAGGTGAATAGTTCTGTAAAAACATGCCCTTTGTCTTCTAAAAGAATGCTATGTTATGTGCCCCATTATATATTAATTTTTTTGCACTACCTGTGGCAGCAGTTTCTTGGATATAAGTTGGTGTATTTCTTTACTTGTCATTTGTTTGGCCCAAGATTTTTTTTCTCTAAATTATCTGTAACACTATATGCCAGGCTTTAAAGTTGAGTGATGATTTACATCTCAATGAGATAGAGTGCACACGATTACTTATTTCTGCTAATCAAGAGGTAAGTCATTTACTTTTCCATTTTACATTGTTCAAGTAGAAGAACAATGTTTTTTTCATTGAGTAAATCAATTGTTATCACACTGGCAGAATTCAGAAAAGTCACAGGGGAGAATACCATTTGTTCCATGCTTACACGAGTGATAATTCAATTTAAAAAAATCTATATTTGTCTTAATATGTGTAAAGTGCTAAACTTTGCAGTGGGGACTATTGGGGCGAGATCATTTAGAAATTATGCGCCTTGCTGCAGGACTTTGGTATACTGAGAGAAGAGATCTCATAACTGCTTTATACATGATATTAAGGGTATTATTCATTCTTGCTTGTATGGTTAAACCCCGTTTCTGGTTATATCTGCATTGATGTCTCCATTTGTGTAGGCTGTTGTCCTTGATCAAGGACATGATGCTAATCTTGTGGCAGATCTACTTAGATACATGGAGGATCTCATGAATGGAGGAGTCAGACAACGGTTAATTACACTTATAAAGGTCCTAAAACTAACTTGAATGCCTCTTTGGTCTTGAATTACTTGGACGTGTAATGTCAGGCCTCGTATGGGCCACTGACCAACATGAATTCAAACAGAAGTGAAGTTTGGATGAACATTTAAATATTTGATTCCTTTAGGAATCTCCTCCCTCCTAAATTTTGTAAAAAGTTGGAGAATACAGATGGTTCTATTATATTCACACACATTTCTTATAGATGGAACACAACAAAATCCGTGCATCAACCAAAACATTCCTTGTCAAATGCATGGTTTTCACACTGTAGCTTTTTTGAGTTCCCCAATGTCTGAAACTTTGAACACTATCCAATCTTATAATGAACATTATAATGCGTGATGTGCCATCGATTGTTAAATGCATAGATACATTATATTTTTTTTGTTTATTCGACACTTTGGTTGTTTTTGTAAAAGGTGCAAGTTCATAATGACACTTGTTAGTTACCTTTTAGGAGCTCAATCGAGAAGAACCAGCTGGATTGGGTGGGCCAAACTGTGAGCTCTATGTTCTTGATTCGAGAGGTGCTCTAGTGGAACGAAAAGCTGTAGTTGCCAGGGAAAGGCTCATCCTTACTCATTGTCTTGTCCTTTCTGTTTTGATTGTACGGGCAAGTAAGCAACACGGGACTGATCTCTATTCATAGATGTTTTGGATCAAATTTCTTTTCCTCCATATTTTTTTTGTATATATTGTTTGTTTTTTTCATAAAATCCCATTGGGCTATTGTATTTATTTGCACACTAATCATGAAAGTGCTTCATCTTTCAAATGTACACTGTTAAGAAATATGCTTTTTTATGATTTTATCATATGCACTGCTATTGTTGTTGTAGCATTTCTTGATCATATAGAGTGAACATATCACAGCGCACTTCTCCATTGTGCAAAAAGATTTGTTTCCATTGTCTTCTCTATGATCATAGAATGAGGAAGTCACTTAAAGTGCTTGTGTACTCAATCCAACAGAACATATCATATTTATAAAGGCCTGGTTATTTTATGGCTAAGTCCTGTTACATAATGTAGTTCAGCTACGAATACTATGTTTTTTTTCAGGATTAATTCTAGTTTTTGCTGGGTGACTTAACTATCATGATTTTAAACTTGACCTTTGATTTCAAAATCGAACTAATTCGTTACTTGACTATTGAAATTGTCACCTTTAATCCTAAAATGTGCCACTTTTATCATCATTACCAATAAAAGCGGCAAATTTTACTTACTAGAAGGCACAAAAGCATGTTGGTTTTGAAGTTGCAGACTAAAACAACGATAATTGACCCAGTGTGGGTAGGATGTATGCAAACTTTACCTCTACCAGTGAAAAATTATTTGTTTAATTGATGTTGCAGACTTAGGGGCTGTTTGTTTCAGCCTCTGAATGGTTCAGACATTTGCCTCTAAATGGTTAAGTAAATAAATATTATACATAGTCTGAATGGTTAAGACCTCTTATCTGAGACATTTGCCTCTGAATAGTTAAGCAATATACTAGCTCTTAATGGTTGAGACCTCTTACTGGTTCAACACTTAATGGTTCAGATCTCTTAATGGTTCAGCACTTACCTATTCAGAAGTTACCAAACAGCCCCTTAATGTGAAAAGTTGTTTGGAGCACTAGTCGAGAGACAAAATGATACGGAATATTAATGCTTTCTCCAAGTTATCGTCTTATAAAACTTTACACAAATCTGAATTTGCATTCTATTTTGAAGATTTTATGTGCTTTTTTTCGTTCGATGCATTGTTGTTATTTTTTAGTTGAATCAAACATGATTGAATATACACTTATATAAATTTATCATCTTGGTTCTTATTTGTTGTTTCTTTCTATTACCATCTCTTGAATCATTTTACCTCATCATGAAGCACACTCACAGTGTAATCACCTACCAGTTCTCATGATTCTCTCTTTGCTTCTTATCCACAACTATTGATAGTTTTCTAATTATTTGTAATGTTTGCAGGCCCCAAAGATATAAAAGACATTTTCTCTGCTCTAAAAGACAGTGGAGTGGAACTTAATTGCAACACTGATACCATAAAACATCAGGTTTTGCTAATTATACATAGTATTGTGATGCTAAAATAATTTGATTTCATTTCAAGGTATTGTTTAGTAGTTGCAAGGAGCAGTGAAAGCTTCAGTAATTTTTTGTTGGCTTTGGAATTAAAACTTGAGCATGGACTTGTTTGATGGAATGGAACATGGAGCTATTTAATAAAATGGAGCAAGGAGTTGTTAGATGGAATGGAATAGGGAATTGATAGCCTGAATATACCATTTTTCATTTTGTGTGCTCTAGGTAGTTTTCCTCTTTTAAGGTCATCTTCTTCCGTTCACTATATTTCACTCTTTTTTATATGTATTTTAGTAATTTTACAGAGTATTAAATAAAGCTAATAATGTGCCAAAGGTATTTGTTTATAAGTATGTAAAATTACTAGATGTCATGCAATTGTTTCTTGCACATCTTTGTGGTGGGTTGGTAGCCAAATGATCTACCTTCATGCATGTTTAATTCTTAACTGTCAGGATTATAACCAATTTGGTGTTGAGTGCACCTGTTCCCTGTAATCTTGCTAATGTTGGATATGATACACTCATGAGCACTCTTCATGTGTTTATGTGGATTGCTATTTGACTATTTCAATCAAATTTGCAGATAGCCCATGGCCTCCTTTTCTCTGTTGTGGTATCTTTAGTATCAGATGCATTGAGTGCAGTTCTAGATAAGGCATCTATCTTGACCCGAGACGTTTCTTTCAGACATGAATTTCAAGAAACTGTACGTAGAGCTATCACATTCAAAGATTTTATTATCATTTATATATAATGAATTGGAAGTTTATTCCCTGCTCCCTGTAGGGGCAAGGTCTGCATACACACACCCTCCTTAGACCCTACTTTTGTAGGATTTTACTGAGTTGTTGAATCAGAAGTTTATGACCAGTAGTTTTTCTTCCAGATAATGGTTAGTGTGGAAGATCCTGTTGTCAAAGGCTATGTTAATTGCGTAAGGCATGCTTGGCTTGTACATTTAATGTTAATCCATGATGGAGTTGATGCTCAAGACACCGGGCCCAGTGTTTCATCGCACGACATTCGAACTATTAACACATTGTTGGAAGTCATATTCTCTGACAATGTTTTTGAATTTTGGATGACTAACATTCTTCAAACTCCTGCTTTTGAGGTTAGTGTTTTTTATGGAAGATAATGTAATCATTACTTGTGGATGAAAAATGCAGTAGTAATGAATTTCTAGTTCTGTAGAGCTAGTTGTCTTTGTGTAGCTATATCTGTTTTCTAGTCATTATGTACTTTACACATTACTTGATGTTACATTTATTTGCATTTTTGCACAAGCTAAGATGATGAACTAACTTTTACTTGTGCAGAATGATGACGAAGATATGGTTTATATGTATCATGCTTATTTGCACAAAATGATGTCTTGCTTTCTGTCTCATCCTCTTGGCCGAGATAAGGTTTGTACAATTTCATCTTAGCCTAGAAATATGCATATATGCTTTTCCACTTCCGAACATGCACACAGTTGCATAGTGCTAACACATGAAGCCACTTTTAAGAAGTACTGTTACTGGCTCAAGATGGGATTTTAGTGTTTTCTTATTATGTTATTAATATGAATTCCTCATATTCTTTCTTTTGTCTTTCATATATGTTACTTTCAATGCTTACTGTCGTTTGAAAGGTGAAAGAAGCGAAAGACAAGGCTATGATAGAATTGAGTCCATATCGCATGACCAGTTCTCATGACCAAGATAGAAGCATGCATACTCAGAAGATTAATCCAGCTCCACAGACTTTTGTTTCACTTTTGGAGTTTGTTAGTGAAATTTATCAGGTTAGTGCATTTTGAATGCTATTTCTCTTCCTAAAATGGATGGGGTTCGAGGTCTTATTCTTTATATTGGCTAATTGTGTATTTTGAGGTTGGCATGTATGAAGTATGGGCTGATTTCTTGATCCGACTATTGGATAGTTTGAGATGTAAACTTTACTCTACTAATCCACAATACACTATCCATTTTTGCTCCTAGAGACCAGAGTCAATTGTGTTGCATTGGATGATAGGATTTTTTTCAGTCTTTCAGAGTTAATTGATCTTTTATATAGCATGATAATTACTGCTGATTTGGGGATATGTTAGTGTAAATGATTGAAGCCAGTTGGCTATTATTCCATACTTTCTAGGAGTCTATTGCGCTAAGCTGTCATTTTGTGAAGTTGCATATCCAAAATATGTGACATAAATTTCAATTAATCATCTCATTGATTTATCACACCACAGCGGGGAAAAAATCTTATAATAATCTGCATTATGTGAAATGGTGATGTCTTTCAGAAACAACCTCTCTACTCTTTACGGGCAGAGATAAGACCTGCTTACATCTTACCCTTCCCACTCCCCAGACCCCACTTATGGGAATGCACTGGGTTTGCTGGTGTTGTTGCATGATGTGGAGCCAGCTTGTAGTGACTGTTCTATCACTTACCAATACTATTACAATTTTTTTGAGATTTAAATATATATTATGTCATTTGAGTATCTTAATGTTTAATGGACTATTTTTATTAATAGGAACGATCTCTTTTGTGCTTTCATGAACCGTGGGAGACGTTAGAGATGCGAATGCATTCTTTTCGGCTTCTCTTATTTCCAGTACTTTCATATATTAATGCGTGTGTGTATTCATTCACATATTAATTATGTTTGTTTCTTCACTAGCGGGAACCTGACCTGTTGTCTGGCAATGATGTCTTGTGGACTTTTGTCAATTTTGCTGGAGAGGACCACACTAATTTTCACACGCTTGTTGCATTTCTGAAAATGATGAGTACCTTGGTAACAAAAAGAAAATCACTATTTAAAACATTATCTCTCTTATGGCTCACCAGAGACATATATTCTAAAAGGCATGCTACTTAAAACTAGGCTTCTACTGCTGAGGGTTCCTCCAAAGTTTTTGAGTTGCTTCAAGGAAAGACGTTTCGTTCTATTGGGTGGGGCACTTTATTCAGCTGCTTATCGATTTACGAAGAAAAGTTCAAACAAGCCATCCAGAGCCCCGGTGCAATGTTACCAGATATACAGGAAGGAGATGCCAAAGCTCTTGTTGCATACTTGAATGTTCTGCAAAAGGTGATAATATCCCTGAACTGTTTCAGTTTAATCTCATACTATGTCTTTGTTAATAATTGAATTAGGTAAGGCTTGTAAAATTTTCTTCAATGTTACAGGTTGTTGAAAATGCAAATCCCATCGAAAGGAAGAATTGGTTTACTGATATTGAACCATTATTCAAATTACTTGGATATGAAAATGTTCCTCCCTATCTTAAGGTTTGGACCTTGAATATTTCTATCTTTCATCTGATTGTATGGATTTGATCCATTATGCTAAGCTATCCATTTTCCTCTGTGCTTCTGTTTGGCAGGGCGCTCTGCGAAATACGATCACTACGTTTGTTAAAGTTTCTCCAGTTATGAAAGATACAGTTTGGAGATACCTGGAACAGTATGATTTACCAGTAGTTGTTGGACATCATGCTGGGACCACTGGACAACCAATGGCAACACAGGTTGTTATTCAATGGCTTTTCATATTACATCATGCTTTCCAAACATTTTCTGAATGGCTGAAATTTTATTGAATTTTTCATTTCCTTGATTCTCTTCGTTGATATACCTGAAGTTCTGCCTGTCCGTTGCTAGAATTGTGCTACCCTTTTGGGGTTGATATATTGTCATTGCTTGATTGTAAGGATTAGTTTCTATAGGTTCTGTAAATATGTTAAAGAGATGATCAGATGAAAATCTTGATGAAGTTACATGTATGATTCTTTTCTTCTTTTCATAAACTGCTGTTCCTTTTTAGATGCTTACAATCCGATTTTTTGTGTGCAAACAGGTTTATGATATGCAGTTTGAGCTGAATGAAATAGAAGCAAGACGTGAACAATACCCATCCACTATATCATTTATTAATTTGTTGAATACTCTCATTGCCGAGGAGAAGGATCTTACTGATAGAGGGCGCAGGTATTGTGTTTTGGCAATGTAATTTTCTCTCATTCATTTTTCTTCTTCCTGACATTGAGTGACATCCTTGCAGATTCATTGGCATCTTTAAGTTCATTTATGAGCAGGTATTTGGGCCATTTCCCCAGAGAGCCTATGCAGATCCTTCTGAGAAATGGCAGCTGGTTATTGCTTGCCTCAATCATTTCAAGATGTGATTTTCTTGTCCACAATATCTCCCTTTAAAGTTTTTATTCTAGTTCTGCTATTCTAGTTAGATGGTCCAGGTATACCTGCATTGTGCTGTCTTCTAAGAAGTTTTGAACTTGTGTTCACTTCTTTGGGTTGCAGGATGCTCAGCATGTATGGCTTCAAAGATGAAGATATTGAAAATATTGCTGATCAATCTCAACTTTCTGAATCTGGACAATCTGCCCCTGTTCAAATGCAGCTCCCAGTCGTTGAACTGATGAAAGTAATGCCTTTCAACGCCTTTTTTGAAGTTCATTTATTTCAGTTTGTTATCAGCATGATTATTACGTTAACTTTCCCTATTATCAGTGTGTTATCACACGGGTACATAGTTTGTACTTTCTGCAATTTAATTACAAGATTTTTTTGCAGGATTTTATGAGTGGTAAAAGTGCATTTCGGAATGTTATGAGTATTCTTTTACCGGGAGTTAGCATCGTTATAAATGAAAGAACAAGTCAAGGTCATGGGCACCTTCTTGAAAAGGCTATACTCCTCTCGTTGGAGATTATAATTCTTGTTTTAGAGAAAGATTTGATTGTTTCTGATTTCTGGCGCCCTGTATACCAGGTATAATACCAAAGTTAAACATTGATTGATCTTTTTATTGTGAACGTTCTCTCTTAAGTTGTAATTTTTTCTTACTAATGCAATCAAATTCTTAACTCAAATGCATCTGATTTGGAAAATATATCCTTGAAATGGTTCTTTTTTGGCATGTTTGGCTAAATGCTAGACTTTATTTCATGATTCTTGACTAACATCTTAATCTCTACCTGCTCATTCTTTCACGTACAGCCCTTGGATGTCATTCTTTCTCAAGACCATAACCAAGTTCTCGCTTTGTTGGAGTATATCCGATATGATATGCAACCTCGTATTCAGCAGTGCTCTATTAAAATAATGAGTGTCTTAAGGTTTTGCTATCCTTTTTTTTATTAAAATGTGTTTTGTTTCATGTCATGATACTACATTCTCTTGTGCAAAAACATTTCATTGCTAGGTTTTGTATATTAATGGCAGTTCTCGTATGGTTGGGCTTGTTCAACTTCTCTTGAAATCCAATGTTGCGGGGTGCTTGGTTGAGGATTATGCTTCTTGCTTAGAATTATGTTCTGAAGAATGCCAATCTATTGAGGACATGAGTGAAGATCCTTGTATACTCATTCTTCAAGTATGTTTCTATGGTCCCGTCAGAGTTCTAGTTAGAAATGTCTAGAATTAAGTTTTTTCTCTCTTCATGCTTATGTATCTCTTTGAGTACACAGAAAGAGCAGCAAGTATGAACTTTTAGAACTACCCCATTTTATGTTCGCCTAAATTTATAGCTGCAATGCATTGGTTCTCCATTGAGAGAGATTCATCAAACTTGAAAACAGACTTTGTCTATGCTTTCAGTCTCGAATAGTTGAATATCAATTCCTCACTTTTTGCCAAGGCACAGTAGAATCAGATAAGAACAAGATGGAGAGGCAAAGAGGTTTTGGGGGTAGGCAATGGATGAGCATTTCATCTATAAGATCTTGTAAAATTTGCTTGGGTTGGATGTTTTTGATTTGAGGTATTAGGTGATGATCATCATGCAAATGAGGAAGAAGTGGGTTATGTTGATCAATTTTACTATGGCTGACAAGGCTTCCAATCAAATTATGTTGAATATTAATATAATGTACTGATGCATTCATGCATCTAGGGAGCAATGACCTCTTACAGCCTAGAGTGAAAAGTATAGAGATGCTCACTAAGAGAGTTGTGCTGGGTGTTTGTCCAACAGCTGTTTATGTCTTTTAGTTTCCTAACACATTTAACTTTAGTTTCCCAGTTTTGAAAGATTGTTTTGTACTTTTGTAAAGATAGGGTTCTACCTTCTACCATCTGATTTGGATGGGGTTTTCTTTACTTTCTTTGTTATTTCCCTTATTGCACATTCCTGTAGTCAGGTTTGCAAGGATTATTTTGGTTATGTTGTTTCTATTTCCTGTTTCACCTATGTAGATGGAGCTCAGCACAAGGAATCTATAAAAACTGTGAACTGAAATAGTATGATTTGATATCATATGGGAATTTTAATAGAAATTGGTTCTCCATTTTTTCTGCAAAACTTAATTTGATGCCAAGTTACTGACTGGAGTTGGCTTTGAGTTCCGGTCTTCTGATTTCATGAAAATGTGTTTAACAGCCTTTGCCTTTATTATGTCTTACTTTACTGTTTTTGTCTTGATTAGAGGTTGTTGATACAAGGCAATTTGTTTTAACTATTGTTAGTACAAACCCTGAGTATTCTACTCCATCCACTTGCAGCTTCTAATTGATAATATCAGCAGACCTGCCCCTAATATCACTCACTTGTTACTCAAGTTTGATCTTGATAACCCTATTGAGCGGACTGAGCTACAACCAAAATTCCATTACAGGTTCCGACTTTCCCTCTTATTCTCTTCAAATTCTCTTATGCTAAGATCATGATATGACCCTTTATATTTCTCTGCAGTTGCTTGAAGGTCATTCTTGATCAGTTAGAAAAGCTTCTCAAGCCAGATGCCAACGCGCTGCTTCATGAATTTGGTTTTCAGGTTAGATATCTTCTGGTATTAGATTTTGGCTGTGCAGTCCCAATATGTGCATGGGCTAAATACTACAATTAAAGAATTTGACTTTGCTCTATCATCCGTGTACTGTTTTTTGATGGTTATCACAACTGAACCCTTCTTAGCTAACAATTGAGTTCCTTTAACCAGCTTCTTTATGAGTTGTCAGTAGATCCACTAACTTGTGGCCCTATCTTGGATTTGTTAAGCACTAAAAGATATCAATTCTTCATAAAGGTATTTGCTGATTAATTTGTTAAACTTTTAGTTCTATTCTCTACTATAATTTAGAGGACCTTAGGGAATTCTATTCGTAAAATTTAATGTTTGATATATTATTGTAACAGCATCTGGACATAATTGGTGTTGCTCCACTCCCAAAAAGAAATAGTAGCCAGTCACTTCGCATCAGTTCCCTTCACCAGGTCTGTTTGGGTAAACTTATGTTTTATTTCCTTTCCAACTCTAGGTAAATGAGATGTTGAATTTGTGTTCTTCCATTACGTGTACTAGCTGGGTATCTTGAATTAAGAGTATTTATTCTAGTCTTGTCTGTTAGTTGGATGGTTATGAGTATCCTGTTGCAACTCTTTAAAAAATGAATTGATCNGATATGTCTAGCTCCACACATCGAGAAACATGTCAAAGTATCATAGTTAAACTATTTGGGCAAGGCATCTCAGATGATTCTATTACTCCAGACAATCCCGATATAGCTGGAGCAAGAATGATCAGTAAAAATAAGGTACTGGTTGTTACATTGTTTTACACATCGTTTTGCTAGGGTTAGTATTGACTTGATAATTATAATTCAAACGTTTGCATCAGAAGAAGGAAATTCAAGCTCTCCAACTGATGGGTGGCTTATAATCAAAATTCTTTACTTTTTTGAGTGGTCTTGTGGGTGTTCACTTGTAAAGGTCAACATATATGGTTAGCTAGAAGCCTGTATCACAATGGTTCTGTGATCCTGAAGGGAAGTCAACAGCCTTTCTTCCGATTCTAGAGCTATCACTTGAAGGCTTTTGTTGGTTCTTTAGGGAAATAAGGTTGTTCCACATTGTGCTTTTAGGTCATTCTGCAAACGTTTTTATAAATACTGATGTTCATTGGCTAGTTTAAAATGATCTGTAGTTGAACCAGCATTTAGAAACAGATCCATGTCAATCATCCATTTAGTCTTTATTGTTTCCTTTACTCCTTTGTTCACAATGCCCTATAAAGTGGTTGTTTGAAATAATCAATCATTAGGGACACTTCTATATACTCTGTCCATCACATATTTTAGTTCTTATTTTCTTTTTCACCGAGTTTAAGAAGAAAAGATAAAATTTTGTGGCTGAGATTTATGTAGAGGAGAGAGAAATAATACGAATCACACAATTTATTTCTTAAGAGGAATGAGAACTTTATTTTGGGATGTTCTTTAAGGGAAAGTGGGAACTTAAATATGGGATGGAGGGAGTATTCATATTTCTGTGCCCCAGATTACTGCTAAGCATCATTACTCATAAACCTGTTTTTGTGTGTACCGTACTACCATAGTGCATGGCTCATGTTTCCCCATTGAAGGTGATAAGTAGCAATTTATTGTTTTGCTTTTGCATTCTATATTCTATATAACAATTAATTTTGGACATTCAACCACAGGTCTTAGAATTGCTTGACGTTGTTCAGTTTAAAACTCCTGAAACGTCATTGAAGTCTTCTCAGATTGTTTCCAGTATAAAGAATGGATTTCTGGTAAGTAATTTTTTCTAAATCATTAAGCATATCTCTGTTTTTATTTATATGTTTGATGTTTCTTATTATCTGTGCATGGTGTTTAATGCAATTTGTCTCATAGGCAGAGGATATACTTAGCAATCCTTCCACTACTGAGAAAGGCGGTTTGTATTACTACTCAGAACGTGGAGACCGTTTGATTGATCTGACTGCATTTCGTGACAAACTTTGGGAGGTGATTTCTCTGCTAATTTCACTGCACTTACTCTTTTGTCTTCTTAATTTAGTTTATTTTCTTATATTTTAATAGTTGTCTATCAGTTGCTATCTTTATTGACTGGTTTCAATTTATAGAAATATAATTTGCATGATCCCCAGCTAAGCTCCTTTGGCACTGAAGTTGAACTTAATGAAATTCGAGAAACAATACAACAATTACTGAGATGGGGATGGAAATATAACAAAAATCTTGAAGAACAAGCTGCTCAGCTTCATATGCTAACGGGCTGGTCTCTTGTTGTTGAGGTATCCTTTCTTTTTCTTCATTATCTTATTTTCTGGATTGAGTATGTCTGTCTTCTTGTCTCTTTGTTGCCTGTATTTGGGTTTTTTCTCTTGTTCCCTTACCATTACAGTCTATGTTTATGAAACATATATATTTTTTCTGTAGATATGTGCATCTAGAAGATTATCATCTCTTCAAAGCCAAACCGAAGTATTGTTTCAGTGAGTAATGTTTTCATCTTCGTTTTATTTTTTCATAAGTTACTAATGATGTCATTTCTAAACTTTAAGTCAACTTGTAGGTTACTAGATGCCTCACTCGGTGCTTCTGGTTCTCCTGACTGTTCACTGAAGATGGCACTAATTTTAACCCAGGTTATATCTCTTTTTTTACTAACTCGTTGAAGCAGTTGCTGCCAAAGAAGCAAAGAGTATAATAGATTTGCCTATGTTAACTGATTTTATTTAATTGAAAATTTGAAGGTTGGTCTGACATGCATGGCAAAGCTTCGCGACATGTGTTTCTTATGCCCCGGTGGCTTACAATCTGAGACCATCACTTACCTTGACATAATAATGGCAAAACAATTGTCTAATGGTGCATGCCTTTCTATTTTGTACAAAATGATAATGGCAATTCTCAGACAAGATTCATCTGAAGCTTTAAGGAGGCGGTACAAATTTCTTATGTTGAAATTGCACCCACTTGTCTATTCTGTTGATATTAAGTGCTTATTGGTTGTTTTATTTCCCTTGTTTCAGCCAATACACCTTGCTTCTTAGCTATTTCCAGTACTGTCAGCATATCCTTGATCCTAGTATACCTGCCTCAGTGATGCAGTTCTTTCCAATGGATGAGCAGGATAATGAAGATGCTGATCTTGACAAGGTCAGAAAAGCTTTACATTCCCTCCCCAGTCTTTTTGAAACTTTTATATACAAGTATATGATACTTAAATTTATGTTCTATTTACATGCTAATCAGATTGTCAAAGATCATGCCGAATTATCACATGCAAACTTCTCTATTTTAAGGAAGGAAGCTCAAGCAATTCTTGATTTGGTGGGTGGTTTTTTCATTTTGTCTGCATTTTTTGTTCACGACATTCATGCTTGAAGTTGTACTGGTTTAAGTTGGTGCCTTCGTGACTTGTCACATGGCCATATTAAAATTAATCAAAGGGGAAACACATAGCTCGTAATTCGTCATCAGTATGGTGCTCATCACTACATTCTTTTCATTTCTATTATTCTAAAGAAGTTTAATTTAAAACACAGGTCATTAAAGATGCAACTCATGGAAGTGAATTGGCAAAAACAATTTCGTTTTATGTTTTAGATGCACTTATATCCTTTGATCATGAGAAGTTTTTCTTGAATCAACTTCAAAGCAGAGGCTTCCTCAAGTCTTGCCTTATCAGCATCACGAATTTTTCGTATCAGGTGAGTATTGTTCTCTCTTTCAGTGTCTGAATGTATGTTAATGTTTATTCCATTTTTATGTGTCCCAAGAATCTATTTTTACATGAATTAACAAATTTTTCATTATTGTTTAGAACAGGAAACCTTTGACACCTAATTAAGAAAAATAACATTTGAGAATTTGGCACACACACCATACAAAACACATTATTCCTTGAAGATATTCTTGTATCTTAATGTGCAACATAATTATAAAAAATGCTTCGGGGAGTAAATTGTGTTTTTTCAGAATTTGCAATATGCACAGAAAACTTGTACGCTTGTGTAGGAAGTAAAGCTGGGAAGTCATGCATAAGAACCCAGATACATAAAAGACAGCAAATGTGCATATTATAATTAAGATTTTTTGGCAGGAAATGTATGAATTATATCGAGTTTCAAAATCCGACTGAACTGGTAAAATGTAATCAAGGTCTTCCTGTGATTTAACCAGTAGCATTATTTCTTTTCTTTTTGAAAACTTTAACATGCTTTGGACTGATAAAATTCATACTTTCTAATTGTGTGCCTGCGTAGAGTTATTCCCTTTTTTTCTCACAACTGTAAGTATTCATGAACATCTGTTCTAAATTGAATTCAATTAAAAAAGCTAATCAACAGCATAAATTTCTCTCGCTGATACAGTTTTTTTAGGGCACGATATGCTAACCAGTGTTTCCCTTCATAGGATGGGTTTCCTGTTGGGTCAATGCAGCGCGTGTGCACTCTTGAAGCAGAACTTGCTCTGCTATTGAGAATAAGCTATAAATACAGGAAATCAGGGGCACAAGTTCTCTTTTCAATGGATGCATTGGACCGTATATCCTCATGTAGAGCACTAAAAATGCAAATTAAGGTTATTCACACATTCTTTATGTGGATATGGTGACTTTCTTCTATTATCATTTGAATGCTAATGTGGAGTAACTTTTTGTCAGGGGAGCCACCGCCGGTTTGAGGCCAAATTTGGAAGAGAATTGTCTGTTGATGTGGACAAGCAGCGCATGGTTATTGCTCCTGTTCTTAGATTAGTATTCTCTTTGACTTCTTTGGTTGACGCGTCTGAATTCTTCGAGGTTAGCGTTGCTTCTTAATTGAATGATGTTTTCAATTCCAAAAACTCAAAAGGTATTTTGACAGTTTGGTGTGATGATTTCTGATCATAGACACTATTTTTTCCCTATATTGCATTTTCTTGTGGTCTAACTCTTTATTTAGATGCTCTGAAATTTTTCCACTTTGCATTGAATAATGTAATACTCTCTCCATCCCTAAATAAGCCGTGTTGAATTTTGGTGGGTTAGTAAGAAAAAGATCTATGGTTGAGAATTGAGATTTATTTGCGAAAGACAAGAAACAATGTTAACCTCACAATTGTTTCTTTAAATGGACTGTGAGAATAATGTGGATATAAGTGAAAAGTAAAAGTGGGATGCTAATTTAAGAACAAGGTAGTATGTGTAACTATCATAAATCAAGTCAAGTGGAAACATCGTCTCTTTGTACTTCACTCTCCCGGGTTTTTATATATTTTAGTAGTTTCACCATATCAGTATTTGTTGTGTGATAAATTTGTTATTCTGAATTACACGGTGGATATGCAACAGGTGTCAAATAAAGTTGTACGAGAAGTTATAGAGTTCATCAGAGGGCATGCATTACTCTTTGATCAGATTCTTCGTGAAGATCTTTCTGGTGCTGATGAGTTGACAATGGAACAGATAAACTTGGTAGTCAGCATACTTACCAAGGTTCGTGTCAAAGGAGAATGCTAATATGAATTACGGTGGTGCTATATGATACTCCCTCCGTCCCTAAAAACCTTTCTGCTTTCTTTTTTCATCCGTCCCAAAAAACTTTTCTCATTTCTATAAAAGAATTACTTTTACCCCTACTAATTCTTAACCTACCTATCACATCACATCTATTCACTATCAATCTACCCATTAAATCCTACTTTTACCCATCACATCCAAGGACATTTTGGGAACACAACACTAAAATACACTCCCCTTAAATCTCTTAAAAATCAAAATCTCCCATTTTTCAAGGACGGAGAGAGTATATACCTATATATTGTTTCATTTTTGTATTGTCATTATAATGGCCACATTGGACTATGTATTTTATTTCTCTTCAGATATGGCCATATGATGAAAGTGATGATCTTGGGATTGTTCAAGGGCTGTTCACCATGATGCGTGTTGTTTTTTCAATCGACCCGGAATCTTTTACCTCAAACAAATCAATACGCTTTGTGGAGGTAATTTCGCTTCTCGTCATGTAATTATGTATTGGCTTGAGGCAGTTGATTCTTGATTCATCTCTGAGTGAAAGCATGGGAGACATCACTGTCCACTGTTGGGATACTAATGGTATTCTACTCTATTCTTTTCATAACTTGTGCAGAATCAAAGGAAGGCTGAAGTAAACACATCCCGTCTCTGCTTTAGTCTGAGCTCGTATCTATATTTTCTGGTCACAAAGAAACGTCTGCGGCTGCAGGTAGTGTTGAATATTGATATTGGGAAGGAGGGAGTATATGCTATTAGATTTTAGTGCAATGAGATTATGAGACCCTCAAATGTGTTGTAGCTCTTTTGATACACAATACTCCATATTTTATTTTATGATAACATAAGACACATAATTGAAATGCACTCCTTTATATATGAAATACTCCCTCCGTCCGGTAATAAACTTCCTATTTTGACTTTTCCTCATTTTTAGTGGAGGTTGACTAAGGGTGTAATTTCTCTAAAATACCCCCTCTCCTTCCTTTCCCAGCCCTGCCCCTGCCACCATCAAGTCCCCACCACTGCCTCCACCGTAGTCCCTCTCCTCCTCGCCGCCAGCCCTGCCATGTCCGTCAACTCCACCATCGATCCATTCTCCAACCATCTCAAAGAAATTAAGAAGAAAAAGGAGAAGAAGTGGAGATCTAGACTCACCATCATCCCCGCTAACACAATTGCCGTCGCCACCATCGCTGCCGCCCGCTGCCAAGCTCGGATCTGGAAGTCTGGAAGAAGAAATAAGCTCGGATCTGGAAGGAGATAAAGAATGGAAAAGATGAAGGGGGAAAAGTGAAGAAGAGGCCGGAGATGACGAAGGGAGAGAGAGGAGGAGAAAGAAGAAGAAAAAGAAAAGAAGATTGAGTGGAGGAAAGGAGGATGACGGAGGGGAGAGGAGAAGAAAGAAGAAAAGCAAAAAGAAGAAAAAGTGGAAGAGAGGAGAAACGGCAGGAGAGAGGAAAAAGAAAAGAGTAGAAAAGAAGGGTAATTTAGGAAGAATTGGTATAAAGTAGTAGAATGAGAAGATTATTTCCGGACGAAAAAAAAGGTAGAGTAGGAAGTTTATTCTTGGACGGAGGGAGTACTTTTTATACATCATTTGAACATTAAAAGTTTCTTACAATGATATATTTTACTTTTAAAATTTTCAACAATCATCTAAAAACAAAATTTTCCTTATACCAGGCCTATTTTTAGGCTCAATGTGTTAGTCAGTCTTCTACTACCCGCTTCATGCCTAGCGCCTTATATAACATGGTGTGCCTAGGCAGATTCTCAATTTCTAGCTAAAATTTGACCTTAGGATCTGCATTGAAACTATTATTCTGAAATCTGGAGGATTAAGGGGCCAGATATGGGGTTTACGAAAAAGATATCTTTCTATTTAACGTGGAACACAAGTTTATATCCTTAACAATTGAAATTTGCATCAGGTCTCCGATGGTTCAATGGACTATCGTTCTTCTGCTGGACAACAACAGCCAACATTGACATCACTTGCATTTCTACTCTACTCTCTTACTACTTCCTTGGAAAAAGCTGCTGAGGAGAGATATCTTCTGCTCAACAAGGTTGCATATGTTCAATCTTGGCATAAAAAACTATTGTATTCAATTAGGAATTTAATATTCATTTTTCTGCAGATTCAAGATATCAATGAATTGTCAAGTCAAGAAGTTGATGAAATTATAAATATGTGTGCTCACGAAGGTTCTATATCATCATCAGAAAGCATACAAAGAAGGTTTGTGAAAAATTTTAAAATATTTTTCTAATTATTAATGGTTTTATTGTGTGTAAACCAAAGAATTGTTATTGAATCAATTTAATTAGTAATTATATTCATTAGATTTCTATCTCTGTTTTAATAGCTATAAATTTGTACAACAAGGATCTTTTGACTCGGGAACCCAAGGTCATATTATGACCGGGGCACCTACGGTGCTCCATTGGTAAGATTGATGGTTCCTACCCCCCTTAACCCCACTGCCCCCCCGCTAGATTGCCGATTCGGGCTGCGAAATCGGCGATCTAAGGAGGGGGGCAGGCGTGGGGTGCAAGGGGGATAGAGCACCGTATGTGCCCCGAGTCATAATATGACCTTGGTTTCCAAGGTCAAAAGAACCACTGGGAAATTTGTAATATTGATAGTACAAATTATTAAAAGTCCAGTTTGACTATCACCATTAAAAGCCAGTGCCGTAGGAACCTTAATTGTGGTGTATAAGATTATGTGTTCAAATCTCACATTCGACATTTTTTAGTGTTGAAAACCTTTTTTTTTTCTTCAGAATGTCTAGTACTCTTTTTAGTCCCTAAATGAACTTCTTATTGCTTTCTCATAGTCTCCAGTGTTCATCTATGACCATAATTATCCTTTTTTATATTACTAATAATTATGATAAAACTAACATTTAGAAAGTATAAATCGACAAAAATGATCAAATTACTTCTGTATTATAAAACATGACATTTATTAAAGGGACAAAGGGAGTAATATACTATATCATACAAAAAGTTAACAAGCGCCACTAGCTAAAGTAGTTGGAAGTGGAAACACTCTTTGCATATCCAAGTGGCACAAAATAAAATAAAAATGAACCGGTTAAAGTTAGCCGATTCAACCCGGTCCAAAGTGGTCTGATGCAGCAAATGTTACACGGCCCCGAACCAGAATCGTGACTGGTCACTAGTTTTTGGCTGGTCCTGTTTACAAAATGCCCCCTACCCCTAGTGTATTATAGAACATTGCTACATTTACCACTAAAGATATAAAGTGACCCCATCTATTCACCAAGGCCCCTCTTGATTTGCAGGAAAACAGGTGATTGAAAATATTATCCATGAATTGTTTTGTTAATTCCTATGAAAATGCTTTTTGAAAAAACAAGTTCAGCATAATGCTCATTACACAATATATTTAAAATTCAAACTGCTTTGAAAATATACTCCCTTTTTTGGTAAGATGATTTCATTTTTCACAATCACCGAATTTCATTCAAGAATGTGTCAGGCGACACATCTCAAAAACTCTATTGTTCTTTAGAGATATGTTTAACGGAAAAAATCAGAAGCCTAAAACAAGACCAAATATGTACCTTTTTTGGTCTGACCACTTGGAAATATATTTTCCTTCACACTGTTTATAATCCATAATTTTCCACTATCGTCATCACCTCTTAAATATCTACAGGAGATATTTAGCAATCATGGAAATGTGCCGCATAGTTGGAGACAGAAATCTGCTCATTACCACATTACTTCTGGTTTCAGAAAATGTCATGAACATTATCCTCTTCCATTTTCAGGACAGGTATGGTTTTTATCCCATTTCGTGATCTTATATTTCTTGATGTTTTCAATAAGGAGTATTTTTAAAATAATTGTTAATAATGTATTTCAGTTCTTATGAGTGTGATCCCACTAAGTCCGTAAAAAGGCTCACATATGATTCAAAGCCTGATACTAATGATGACTTGAGCATGCTTTGTGGAAAATTAATTTCTACCGTAGAAAGGCTTGGGTCGCTAAGTGAGGTATGTCTGTTCCATTTTCTATAAACACACTATCTGTTCAACTGTGTTTTTATTTTTTCATTAAAAAGTAAGCTGTTGTGTGATTTGTGTCAGCATAAACTTTGTTTTGGAAACACTTTTACCAAAGCTTCTTAATGTTTTTGTTTGTAGTAGTAATATTCCTGCTCCGTGCCTCGGTTGCCAAGCAATGGTGATGTTCATAAGTTTTGTAGTGATGTTTTTAAAGTTTTTGTCCCAAAGAGTCTTGCTTGAGCAAGCAAAGCTAATTAGTAATGTAATTTACTAAATAAAGAAGAACAAACAAATTATAAATTTAGCTTATGAACTAAATTTTAGAAGTATATGTAGGAATCCACAACTTTTAATAGTCTTACCTTGCCAAAATTTAAAAATTATACCTTAATCAAATATGACACTATTCCTGGATGGACTTTATTTTCCCTTTAGTGTACTTCTAGCAATGTACCACTCCCTCTGACCGAAAAAGAGGCTGGTTTAAGAAAGATTCAACTTTTTATTTTAGTCATCTCAATTCAAGTACAAGTTTTACAAATACTCCATCCGTCTCATATCTTTCTTCCCGTTGCACAAAACGAAGTAAAATCTCAAGTTTTTTAAATTTGTTTTATTTAAATATATAGAAATAAAAAATAAAACTTACATATTTAAAAGCTACATAAAAAACTAAACAAGCGGTGGCAAAAATATTTTATTTTGTCATGAAAAAACGCAAATAAATAAAATTTCCCGTGAAGTTGGAATAGTGCACCGGGAAGAAAGTTATGGGATGAATGGAGTAACTAGAACTTGTGGACCGGTTTAAACAGAATGCTACTTAAAGATGAAAACTAACATTCGAAACTGGATTTCTTTTGGAACAAAATGTTCTTGAAACAGGATTATCTTTTCACGCTGGATGAAGTAATATACTACGTATGTATATACAGCTTTATATATTCTATCTCCTTGTATCTTGTTCTCTACAGGACAAAATCGGACATGAGCTCAAAGTGTTCCACAGATTGTCAAGTTCACTCAAGGAACTATCAATTCAAAAGCTAGGCCTGTGAGTTGCAAAAAAGCTCAGAAACTTCATAAATCTTTGTTCCTCTCCTTGTTTTGAAGTTGCTGTGTCCAAAACAGGTCAGCTTCTTTCTTTTTTCCTTTCTTTCACTGATCTTCTTTGGTAGATAACTAGATATTTCATGCAATGATAAATACAAAAAAAGGGGGGGAAATGAACATAGGTTTTCCATATTTTTGTAATGAGAACTTCATAATGTATGACAGGCACAAAATTTTATTTTTGATCCCTCATATATTACAGGGATATATTAGTAGCAGATTTAGCACCTCAGTTATTTCCATGACAATTTATTTGCCCTTTAATTGCCTGTGAGGAAAAGTCAACATGAGCTGGTTGATGAGAGTCATACTGTACAAGGAGCTCATAAGTCATATTTGCTGCGCTGCATTTTAGTCCCATTGCAATACTTTATTCCCCATAAAAAGGTGTACCATATATAGCCTATAGGCCCTCAGCTATAGGGTTTTACTCCCTCCGTCCCTCAAATTCTTTCTCCTTTTTTTGTGTCCCACAATCCCCTTCTCCTTTCTATCACATCATACATATTCACTAATAATCCCTTCATCACATCCTACTTTTACCCATCACATTAAAGATATTTTTAAAAAATCAACACAAAAATATCTCTTTCCTAAATTTCCTAAAAATCAAAACAAGGTGTGTGGGACGGAGGAAGTATTAGATTTAGTCCTTCAATTTTTCTCCTGTCCACTCTAGTCCTTTAATCGTACACATGTAGTGATGTAGGGGCAGATTTCAGTCACTCAACTAATCCCCTTTTATTTAATATATTGATTCTAGTATATTCATACTCCATCCATTTTTAAGATAGAAAACAATATTAACATAATCTAATTATATCTTCATTTTTTCGCAAGAAAAAAAAACATCTTCATTTTAAATATTATTTCTCACCGATAACTTTCCAAAGTCATGTCAATTTTTTTTGTAAAGGGGATGTGAATATCCCTGGGTGTAAGGATTGGGTTTGGAATAAACTAATTCCTCTTGTGCAGTATTATGTGTGGGATTGAGCACGATGATGCAGACCATGTTTTGTGGAACTCTAATATTTGCCAAACATGTATATACAAGTAGTGTTTGGCAAGCTTAATGTGTCTCTATGTTGCTGCAAAGGAGATGAGCTCTGTTGGAGTAGAGATCATGAAGATGATGAATACCAAGAGAGATAAGTTTTTGGTTTGGCAAGAGGATTGCTGAAGAGGGGACTAATATCTATATTCTCTTTTTTTTTGTTAAAAATGTTTTGGAATAGTTACTGTTTGATTTGATCTTGTTTTTCCACCAGTTTTGGCCTCTGTCTGATTGATTGTGTACCCTTGATGTGAGTGAATGTATTTTTGTGCTTTCGGTTCAAAAGAAAATAAAAATCGCGCATGTTCATCGGAAATAAAAAGAGTACAAAGTAAAATGTTCCCTCCGTTTTGGAACGTATTTCCTTCGCTATTCTAAGGTTAAAAGGTTGATTACTTTTGTTATTTAATTTCATTATTAATTTCATAAGAGTAGTAGTTTTATACTTCATCTTATTTCGTTAAAATTTTCATATGCGGAGTAATAGTTTTTAAATGCTCAAAATAAATTTTATTTTTAAGTTCTACCTAAACTTCCACATTTTTGAAAAAAGCAACTTTCACATTAGTTGGATTGAAGATAAATTAAGTTTACCATGATTCCAAACAAGAAAACAATTTAATTGAAAATAAATCATGGGTTTGCGTGGTATACTACCTAGCCTGTAGTTTTTTTAAAAAACATTTTGCATATATTAAAATATGACTTTTAATGCTTTAAATTTTAATACAAAAATAAAAATTATGATGTCATTTAATGTAAAAAAATATATTGTAAAATGCTACAGTACTTGTAACACACAATGCCATTGTAGATATTTTACAATTTAATACTTTTACTTGGAAGATAAAAATATAAGTAACTCTTATTTTTGTACTGTATAAATTTCATATTTAAGCCTTGCTAAGCTACAAAGTATTTTTTGTATACAACAAAGGCCACTCTTTCCATAGAAAATTGAGACAATAAAATAGTCACTTGATATGAAGAACACCTTTGGGATTACCACATAAAATGGGCAAGAAAAATGTGATTTTCCTCATGTCCCATTACAACTGATCTTAAAGTACATACATACTTGAAAAAAGTTATGCTATAGTCACACTACGATAACACTAACACTAACATCGTCGGTGTCTCACAGGGCACAGATAATGATTGTTTGTGCATGATCGTCTCTGATAATGTCAATCTTGCTTAAAGAAAATAGTCAATGAATCAAGAATCAAGCAAACAAGGACCAGGCACGACAACAAATTCCTGGCCATAGGCATTGTCACAATGGGCCGAGACCAGACTTCCAGGCGAGGCTGAGCCCAACTGAACAAACTGCAACGTGATGTCGGTGCAAGGCGTCGATCTACTGCAATTGAGGTTTACTGTCACGTCTGTACTCGATGTTCCATATATATTCCTGAACACAACTCCACTTATCTCCACTCCCCCACTTCCCTATTTTTTTTAAATGCAAAAGAGAAAAAAATGATATTAGTGCAAGTCATAAAAATAATGAATGCCTCTTTTCTAGACTTAAGATTTTATACAAACTAATTATTCAGTTACATATTAGTATAGAACATAATTAAAGGTTTTATTGTATACCATAGTAAATAATAATGAGACAGTGGCACTGTAGTGTCAAAAAATATATAGTGTCAACTGAACGGAACGCATAAGATATATTTAACAAAAACTTAATTACCATTGTCTCTTGGCAAGATTCTCGACTGTCGCAATAAAATTGATCAATGATGATGGGATTGTCAACAGAGTTCATGAAAAGATTCTCAAAAATTACATCTTTTACATACCCTCTCCCAACCTGTGAAATTTTAAAAGAATAAAAAAATGGAAAGAATGAGCTAATTATATTTAAAAAAAATAGCATAGCTTATTTGAAAAGCCTCATCAAAACACATATAAAAAAGTTACAAAAAAGGCTAAAGGTTGTTTGATTTTTTCTGATATCAGAACTCTTTTATCAGTATTTGGTAGTAAAACCTAATTAGACAGAATTCAGATTTCGATATCACAACCCCACAAAATGTGGGTGTTTTGACATCTCCCGGCTTTTCGAGATATCATCTCGAGGGTTTCGATAACTTTCTCGACCGTTGGCTCCTTCCGCGTGTCACTAACAACCATCATTTCAGATATTCTTTAAAATTTTCATTTCAGATTTAAAATTTTTAAAAATTTTCTATAATTCAGAATCTATATCATATTAACCATATTTTGCTCACCAAACACACATATATTTTTGCAAAAAGATAAAAGAAATAAAATGTACCTGCCATGTTTTGATCCTAGCTCCATTTGTTGTCCCATATAAGAAAGCATTGCTAACATGAATGTTCTCAACTTGTACAAAATTTCCAGATTTCCCTAAGCTTCCAATACTAGATTTTACAACAAGGACAAAATTGTCAAGAGCAGTAAATTGCAACAGTGAAAATTCTATTACAAATTTACACTGTAATTGAATAATAAATCTTGAATAATTTGAAGTAAAAAAAAATTAATCCCCCAAATTATTAACCTGATTCCATGGCCCGGACCACATGCAACATTATTTATAAAGACATCAGAAGTGTAGTCCCCAATTGAGACGCAGTCATCCCCTATTCATCAAAATAAAATTCTCATTTTTTTTCGCGGAAAATTCGTGTTCCGTACTATCTTCGTCTTGAAGTATTCATTCAATGATATTTTTTCAAGTCAAACTAGACAAAAGAATTACATTGAATATTAGTACAAAAGTGCTTACATTATACTTCATCCGTCCAAAAATTTCTTTTCCGATTTTACTTGACACGGTGATTAAAAAAAGTTAAAAAGTGTAAAGACTTTCCATGATTACCCTTGATGTGATGGAATAAAGTGAGCAGTGTAGATAAAAAAGTGATGTATGATGGCACATTCATTTAAATTGTATTATCAAAATAGGAAACGAAAATGAAATTTTTGGACGACTAAATAAAAAGTAAGAAATGAATTAATAGATGGTGGGAGTACCCCATATTTATCTTTAAAATATGCTATGTAAATCTCTTTCAGTTCGAGTTAAAAAAAATCAAACCATATGAATACTCTGGAGCAAAATGAGTAGTATCTATTTTAAGAGTAAATTCTATAATTGGTCCATTATAATAGAGGGGTTTCCATATTTAGTCCTCTATTATCAAATATTACCCTGGTAGTCCTTTTTTTAAGGGTGTTTTTCCACAAATGGTCCTTCTTTTGATCTTCTGCCAAGTTGGTGTTAATTTAAAGGCTAAAAGCATAATTTGACATCAACATTATGTCTAGTGACGTGTTCTGATATTGGTTAAGCGAATAACACAAAAATAATGAGTATGATTGTGGACTAGAATTCAGACGAAAGACCACATTTGTAGATTATGGTTGTAGTAGAAAGCGACTGTAATTTACAAACGACGCAAACGGAACAACCTTTGGAATTGTGTATGACAAAAAAAATATATTATCATTGTGAAATTACATTTTTAGCCCTCAAATAACATAATTGAAGATTAAAAAAAGGACTATTTGTGGAAGGAATTCCATAAATGAAGGACTACTGGGATAATATTTGATAATAGAGGACTAAATAGGAAAACTCGCTGTTATAAAGGACTAATTATGGAATTTACTCCTATTTTAATTATGTATTACTCTCAAACACGCATTTTCAATTTTAAAATATTTGTTTCTTAACAAATTCTAGCTATTCAACATCTATTAAATACAGAGTATTTTTTAGCAGGGAGCTATATATTTTAATTTCTTAATCTCCGTGAAACCAAATCATAAAATCTTTTTAGGAGAGAGGGAATATAAATGAAACATACCACTGCTAATATTGGAGTTGGTGATGGTAATATGGTGAGAAGAATGGATATGAATGCCATCTGTGTTTGGGCTGTCCCTTGGAGACTCTATCTTTAAATTGTCAACTCTAAAGCCATTGCAGCCAAGCAGGAGGACATGAGACTGGGGACTATTGGTAAACTTCATATTGCTTAGAGACCCTCCATTGCATGATATTAACTTCAATGCCTGCCCATTATTTCAATTATTATGTACAATATTTAAAAAAAGAATTATATTGTCAAAAGCATTTGAGGGGTTAGCGGGTAGGAACAAACCATTAAATGCATGATTACTTAAGGCTATGTTTGGGAATAACATTTGCGATTGGTATTAGCGTTTTGAATAATGTTTTAATGGAACAAATTAACGTTGAAAACACGTTACGCTGGATGGCATTTCAAAGATGCAAAAGCTAATTCCAGACATAGCCTAAGTGTTTTTATGAATATACTCCGGGTATATACATGATAGCTTACTTACTGTGGGGGCCAAGTCTTTGCACCCTTCCTGCATAAAAATAAAAAAATGTTATCAAATTGAAAACTATTAATTTTTTAAAAAGAGTTTTTTTCATCTAAAAAGTACAAGAAATGGAGAGTTCATAGTTACATTATTTACCCTTTTTTTTAACCTATAGACTCTCATTTGCATTTTAGAAACATGAAATAATAACTTGCCTTTAAGGGTGGAATCACATATTCACACACACACACACACACACACACACACACACACACACACACATATATATATATATATTCATATAGGATTTAACTTTTACCATCCATTCTCTTGGTTGAAGGCTTCATTTGGGATAAGATAAACGTTAATGTTTTGAATAATTTTTAATAACACCCGCTAACTTTCTACTATTCCCTTTGTTCACCAAGATCATTTCTCTTTTATTTTTTTCACTTTCAGGAAAACACTTTTTTCAATTAAAATGACTAATATATCCGAATAAAGTGATTGCAATATATTTCATCCATTTTGTATTGATATGATAAGTCATTTAATTAATTTTTCTCTCTTTTTCAACGCTAGTGATTTAATTGGAAAGTTAAATTACAAAGACGGAAAGAGTACTCAGTAAAAAAGAGAAAAAAGAGGAAGTAATTCACACCAGGTTTGGATGATCTCTACAAGATTGATCCCACCAAGCCTTTCCGTTGCCATCAATTTTTCCAGGCCCATAAACTTGAAGCCCAATAACATCTTGGAATGCAATCCATTGACTTTCATCTCTTTCGGCCCATATGCTTGGGGACTTGGGAGCCACTATCGTTCCCATTATCTATATATAATCAATAAATCAAATGTTATTAATAAATACTTTTCACTTATTTCAAAAAATAAATAAATACTTTTCACGCAAATTTTAAGGGCATCTACAAAATAAATAATATCATTTTCTATGAGATGTTTTTTTTGCTCTTAAATTTCTTGCAGTTGTTACGGGAATAAAGTATTGTAGAGCAGATGGAGAATTAAGATACAATAATAAAAATATATATAGATGAAATTTGAGTTAAGATAGAGGGGAGATGTACCAAGAAATGAACATTTTGGGAATTACAAGGGCCTCTAAAAGTGATTGGGTAGAGCAAGAAATTGTAATTTTGAGGAATGGTGAATAACAATCTTGTATCGCCACTCCATGAACATGCATCTTTCCACGCACTTAAAAATGCCTGCAATCGTCAGTTTAATTAATCAAACACTAAAAATGCTCTATTTTAAAAAATTAATAAATGTATTCAAAATTTTATCACTTTATAAATGTTTAGACTTTACCCAAAATTTCTACGTAAGTTTTTATTACTTTTAAAATATACGGAGTACAATAACAACCAAAGAAAATTATTATGGCACATACTCCGTACTAATTGCTACACTCAGGCGTTGTTTTATAACAATTTCAGAGTTTCTAACGTGAACGCTAATAAAAAATATTGTTTCCAAATGATCGAAGCCTTAATAAACAAATGGACCATGCTACACTTACACCAAAAAATATACCTCATTTGTACACCACAGGTTTGCACAAACATTTCGATAGTTTACACCGACACAAGTGTTGGTGCGTTAATAAAAATTCACACGGACACAAATGTTGGTGCATTTAACAAAAATTAGTTTTACACCAACACAAAATGTTGGTGCAAAACTGCAGGGTACAAATTGGGGTACAAAACTTGGGGTACACATAGCATAATCCTAAACAAATAGATCACGAATTGCATTTTTATGACATTCAAACATAACATCCGTATTCATCTTGAATAAAATGCTGAATTGGATTGAAATAAAATGGATTTAAAATCAATTAAACCCCAAGAATTTATAGGGGCAAAAAAGTAAAATGAAAATACCCGAGAATCATCTGTAATGCCATCACCAATGGCTCCATAATCAAGCACATTCAAACTGCTCTCAGAACCAATAATCACACTTTGGCAACTACTTCTCCAAGAAAGGAATCCAACAATTATGAATATTATTACAGCTAAAAATTTCTGGGGAAAAAAAAATAAAATGAGAGGAAATTAATTTAAAAGAAATAAAAAAAAGTTAAATAACCAAAGCAATTAAAAGAAAATTAAGTTTGGGAAACGTTACCATTGCACTTGAAACGCTAAAGCAACACAAGAGAAACGGAAGATTATCTGCACAAATATATAAAATTAATGGTGAGGGCATTAATTAATGTGGGGTTAAGTGTAGTGGAGTAATCCTTAGTTGTAGTTAATTAATTACTGTAATTTTTTCCAAAAGGTGGAATTTCCACCCGGGTGTCCCACACCACGCTCCGACAGGATTGTGGGAGGGTAAAATATAGTGATTTTAGTGATCAATAAAAAGTGGTAAAATTGTAAATCATGGCGACTCAAATATTTAATTACTGTGATTAATACAATTGGACAGAGGGGGAGTTAATCATCATGAATTATTTTTAATTAATTAATGAGGTTTTTGTCGTACGGTACAGACCAACGGGCCTAACTAATAAGAATATTTGTTTTTAGTTCAGCTTTAACTAGAATTTAGAGTGGATAATTGATGTATGAAGTCTCGAGTCTAGGCATAATCGTAATTTTATTTAAAATACCAAAATTCAAATTTGATAATTGAGGTCTAAAAATAGGAGAATGAAGTAGGATAATTAAGATACAGAGTATTTCATTGGAACAACTTGTTTTGATCAAGTTTTTGACCTTATTTGTAAATCGTAGTTTCGATTAGCATTAGAGTTCGAACGAAGTTTTAACCATATAGAGTGATCTTGAAAACTGTTTTAAAGATTATCCCTATAATGTTAAACATTAACCTTATATACCTTCTTTTAAATATCAACTTTAAACTCTAACCACGTTGCCAAAGCCCAAACGTGACTTCTTATTCAGTATTCACCCAAGCACCAAACGTGCATGAACTCACTAGAAACTTATAAAATATTATTTGTGTCACAAAATTTCCAAATTTTGACATTTATGGAATCACTAACAAACAATGAAATTCATTAATCTTTTAAAGAAAAGAAAAAAAGAAATTAATTAAATATGGCGGGTCCGGTATTTGTCGATTTCGTCACATTTTTTTATGTCTTCATAGTTAAATTTTATTATTTTTACAAGCCTATTGCATAAAATCATTCTATGTGTGAAGGACCACAAAATAATTTTTTTTAAATGCAAGAAATTGTCATTTATTTCACACTCGGAACTTCGTTTTTTGAACACTGATTTTATTTTATTGTAGTAATCTTTTGTAAATTTAATGTAATTGACAATTAAAATTCGTTCAGTTTAATTAAAAAATCAAACTAGACTTATCATTTTAGACGAAAGGAGTATATTTAAATTTACATTAAAAATACGTAAAATTAGAAATGATATATTTATATTATTTTACAAAATAAGGAATGTAAATATGCAAAGAAAGAAAATATAATGATCAATTGCTTATTAATTAATTACCTATTGCTTGGTGAAGACAATGCAAACATTTGGAGAATGCAAACTGTGTACATATACAGTAAGTGTGAATGTTTTTTTAAAGTGAGAGTAAAAAAAAGAAAAAAAATACTGATCAGTTATTAGCAGAATGGTTTACCAGGCCACAAGGGTCTAAGATCATATATATATACCCACACTTGTTTTTTGTTTTCTCTCAAGGTTAATTACTTAATCAAACCTTGAACTAATAACAATATTAACAGCAATTAATTCTAGTTCAGCGTTGATTCCATCAGTCAAAAGTCAAACGTATTAAAAATCGCATTCAAAAAAAAATAATCATGGTGAAGTTGTTGGCAGATGGAAGATATACTCCCTCCCCCTTGTTTAGTTGAAGAAAAAATGGAGAGAAAGGAAATACGGAGTATATATCAAGAAGGGGATTAAGGAAAAAAAGAAGAAATAAGGGCTCGCTTAAATGTTTATTATTTACATAGTCAAATTTTGTTCACTTTCTTTTCTTATTTTCGAAAGTGATTTGATAAAATAATATAGTCATGTCACTATTAGTTTTAACTAAATTGTACTAAAACATAGTGACTTTTTAAATGTAGTACCATATGTTTTTATTTTCCAATGTAATGGCACTGGACATCATTCGAACTAAATATCCACCATCACTGGTATTGTTCCCGCCATTAAACATTATCAAAAAGTTTTTAAGAAATAAAAAAATGTAAGTACTCCATTGGGAAATGACATACTCATATGTTTTAGTACTATTTAGTACAAATGTCTCTTTATAGATCTTTTAATGTAGTTTTTAAATATGTAATTATTAATTTTTGATTCTACACTATTTATCCACTTAAAATGATTTGAAAACAACTTCAGTCAAAGATGGTAAATCAAAACAGACAATTGAAATTGTGATGAAAGGAGTATTAGATTTGTAGGTTTGAAAGGAAATTAGAAAAAGAAGTTTATATTTCATTTAAGAAAAAGAAAGGAACAATTTATATGAGGTATCATTTTTTCTCAACAACCATATAATTCCATTTTTGTTGAGCTCCATAAATGTAAAAAAGAAAAGGGTGGCTTTTTTTATAACACCCCTTGTTTTCATAATATGACAACAAAATTTTCCATTCGAAAAATTGATGGTTCTCATATCCTTAATCCTCCCCCTAAACCCCTCTGTCCTCCACCCAGCAGTCCCTGCCCCCACCCCCACCCCAAATTGTCAATTTGAGAAGAGTGGCTACTGGGGTAGGAGAAGAGAGCAGGGGATTAAGAAGAGTATGAACTATCAATTTTTTTCAAATAAAACATTATAGATTTTATAGGTTATTATTATTGTCATAATATGAGACTCCTTGTTAACAAAAGAAGGGGGCCTTAAACAAAAAATATTACGGAATGCTACCTTTATTTATTTATTTTTTGTAATACAACAAACCTTCCAAAAACTCTGTATTATGCTTTCACAATCTCAAGTCTTACTTTTTACTCCGTATAAGATTTCATTGGATTTAATGTTGTGTGCACATACACGATTGTCCTTAAATCTTCTTCTTATTTAGACTTTTATGAGATCAAAAAATATGTTTTCCAAATTAATCTTGATTCTTGATATTGTAAATAATAGAAAGAAGAAAGCAACTTTAGAACAAAAAAGGAAGAAAATTGTGAGCCCACCAAATTAAAATTATGAACCCACCAAATTGCTAAAATTATTAAAATCCACTAAGGGTCCGTTTGGTATACGGAATTGATGGAATTGGAATTGAAATTCCATGGGATTCAATTCCATAGAATTGAATTCTGCCAATTCCAATTCATTTTTTGCACTATCAATTTCAAATCCACATAATTTTTGTGCTACCAAACACCAGAATTGGAATTGAAGTCCTCAATTCCAATTCCATAATTTGAATTCCGTGTACCAAACGGGGCCTAAATTCTAAAATTCTGAGCTCTCCAAATTAAAATCATTAAGTCACATCAATATCTACATATTAGATGTAGACCTCAAGACGACTAAATCACTACTCACTCATATACTTCCCCAATCCAAAAAAGAATTTCTGATTGTGTGTTACAGAGTATGATGTTGGACTCATAGCATGTATTCCTTCATGTGAATTTGGTTCAAATGAGAATGATGCACAATGAAAGAATTGAGAATGCATATCATCGATTAGATTTAAGATCCAAGGGTTATTAAAAATCAAAAATCTAAAAAAAAATGAAAAAGTCGTGGTGATAATTGTGTAAATAAACCAAACTTTTCTGCTAGTGATGAAAATGCACTACTACAAGTGCAAAATACATCGTGATGGCCCCAAAATGCATCATTCTCACGATAAGATATATTCTCTCGCAGTAGGTTCATTCTCACTTGAACCACACCCTCCTTCATGTTATGGTTACATGTGAGAAGACATAAACCTCATATGGCAACAACAAACGCACAAACGAAGGCAAATATATAAGGAGTATAATAAGGTCTAAATCTGTTCTTATTTTTTTCCCAACCAAATTTGCATATCAAAGTTCATCATCAGCTAGAAGAATGTACATTGAGGCTTCATTTGTCTTTCATCTCAAAATGTCGAATGTTTTGAGGGGTTAAACGCTGAAAACCAAACACGCCCTAAGCCTCATCTTGAAGCACAGTTTTCCTTGTTTGCTTTGCTTGAATTACGAGAGTATCAAGCGCAGAATATCTCCAGAGAGCTCGAACGACTTCTCGGTCTCCTCCAAACAATGGTTCTTCTGCTCTCTCGTCCAGTTCTTTGTAAAAAAAAAAAGTGCATTAAAAATGATTCGAAAAGGTTAGTGGTTTTGCTGATAGAAGTTTTGAAAAGATGTGAGAATATATGGCATGAGTTGAAGGGCATCAAGAAAATTTACTTCAGAAACTTTATTAAGCTTGTCTCTGACATTCTGCAGAAGTAGGGAAATGTCACCCTCCCATTTGTAGAACTCCAACTCTTTCTTGTTCAGTATCTTTTCTGCTACCTGAATAGAGAGAGAGAGAGATAGAGAGATAGAGAGACAGAAAGAGAGAGAGAGAGAGAGAGAGAGAGAGATTATGATGGACTAAAGCCAATATGATTCAGTTTACATAGAAAAAATGTCCACTAATTTATGATGGACTAACAATGCAGCAACGCAAACACGGTAGACTAGGCAATGGGGTCATTTGGTTTGGGTTGGGTCAACTTTGGGTCAAGATAGGTTTTGGGTCAATAGTATTCGGGGAAGTTTGGGTGAATTTCAATTCAAGTGATTTGGGATCCCTTGAATTTTGGTGTAGTAAACTTTTCTTCTAAAACCAGGTGACAAGTAGACCTCTCTACTGGTGCACCAAGGCATCTCATAAGATCAAAAAAAATATTGTGACACATGGAAATAAAATTGAAGCACGCTTGAAAAGTCTCGTACCTTCTTCCCAATCATGCGGCCCCCGGCTGTATGTGCAAAATATATGTTGTAGAAGTGGCAAAGGAAGGCTTGAGGGTCGTCTTCCGATAGCTCTTCAAGATACCGGGCATAGTTGAGACCAGGTTCAGATGGCTCTGGGATGGCATGACCTTGCTGCTTAAACCATTCAAGATCTTTTTCCAAACTCTCCGACCTTTCCAACCCAGTATTTCTAAACTCAGCATCTGCAATCCATATCACACACCTACCAAATCACTTACTTGCATAGACAGCAAATTGCAGAAGATCACAATGATAAAATGTGTGCATTTATAAATTATACCACATTGCGAAAAATGATCATTTTGGAATTCATTTTTTGGACCTGCGACCTCAACAATCATCATCACATGACTACAACTCAATAGTTGTGCCAAGGCGAGAAGGGCCTCTACTCTTCCATGTTTATATATATAGGCTCTGTTTGGCAATAGATTTAGTGTTTAGCTCTAACGTGTTGAAAATGCTATTGAACTGTAGCTTTTAGCATTAGCATTTTCGAAGTTAATTTGTACCCTTAAAAATTATCCAAAATGCTAGCCACAAACATTGTACCCCAATGAAGCATAATGTATCTGAAAAAGAGCATCTTAAATACGTATACGCTTAGATAGTTCAGCTCACCCATCATTTTCCACCCCAATATTGACAAATTCAGTCCTTCAGGTTAAATTTAACACTATCAAATGCGATCTAGGACTAAAGCATCCAAGATCAACGGACCACTCACTAACCACTGCCACTATATTATTTCACGGAGGGAGACAAATGGATCATCCGTGCAAAACAAAACATGAAACCCCTTGAGGCTTCAGCTTACACATCCAAACAAGTTCTGTTGTAAAAGATCAAATAATCAAAAAGCAAAAACCACTCCAAACATGTGAGGTGATAATTGGAGTGTGTAATATGCACTTTAAGCTGCATATATCAATGACATTACTCCACTTTTCTAACAGCTTGATTTCATAACAGAACCAAGTTTTTTTACTCCGTATCTAATAATAGCTGGGAACATATGACACAAAGCCACAACAACAACAACAAAATCATATAAAAATAGGGTCGGAGGAGGGGGTGTGTAACTGTGTACGAAGACATTACCGCTACTCAGAAGTAGAGATGTCAAAGCAAAGATAAATTAAATATAGTAACCCAAACAAATATAGAGCAGAGACACAAAAGGTACACATACTAGCAACTAGACCCAAAACTAAACAAAGCCAAGAATGAAAATTCAGGTATTATGCACCAGTATACCATATAAGAAGGCAAATAGGTAGATGAATATATAAAAATGAACAAAAAACTCACAATCAGGAAAAGGAACTTTCCCTACAATCTTCTCAAGAGTATCATAAACCAATTTGCTGTCCACCAAGAACTTCAAGTACCCTTCAACACTTGGCTCCCATTTAGCCACAGGCTGACCTTCAGGCTCCTTTTCCCCTTCCTTTGCCTGGTCCCTCGTATGGTGCTTCATGGCCACAAATCTCATCTCCTCCACAAACCCCTTCGCCTCCCCGGGGTACCTTTTCTTCGGCTTCTCAGCGGCAGCTGTTGCAGAAACCACCACCGCCGCCTTTGATCTTCTCAAGGAAAGATTTGATTTTTGACTGTTTCTGGAAATGGGTGGTTGCAGAAACGAGATTTTAGGGTTATTAAGTGATGCAATTTGGGTGGTGGCAAAAAGAATCCTGCATTTGGGTAAGGGTGTTGTGATGGAAGCCATCTCCAGCAATGAGTGTTCGAATTGAAATTGGAAACCCTTTTTTGTGAAGATTGAAGAAAAAACTTACTCCCTTCGTCCCCCAGTTTTTGTCCACTTTCATTTTTACACACCATCTAATGCACTTCTTTAATCCATTTTATCTTGTAATTTGTATATTAAAAAATTATAGAAATTATATATTAATAATCTATATGTTACACAAATCAAACAAGATCACACATGACTATATTTTGGCTTACACATTGAGAGAATTTGATGAGTCAAAGTGCTTAGATGAACAGTTCCAAAAGTCAAAAGTAGACAAAAACTGGGGGACGGAGAGAGTACTTAATTACAATCCTGCAAAGCAAAGATATAGACGCAGACTATGTGTTTTCAGATTGACTAAAAAAGAAAATTTGAGATTGAATAATTGGAGTCTGTAGCTTTGTAGGGTGCGAAGTACTCCGTATTATTGAGAGACAGCAGCGTGTTCCCCATGGATAAGATTATTGATTTGGTTTTGGAAGAATGCATCTTTTATTTCCGAACTTTTTAAAATTGTATAAACATTAAAAAGTACATTGTTTATTCTTGAAATCTTCAAAAATTACATGATGTATCCTTAAATTTTAAAAAAATGTACCAAAAATTTTTGAACAATTTAAAGTGTTTCACCATTAGTCCTAAAGTCTTGAAAAAGGAGTGTGTTGCTCCCACACACAAGAATTGCGAGCATGGTTCATACTTCATCTTCATATGACCCTTGATATATGCTTTAATATGCAAACGTTTCCTCCGTATTAAGTAATAGCTAGTCTATAGTGTGTAGACCAAATAGGCTTTTAGGTCTAATAACATGAACTTTTATCATTATTCATATCTAATACGGAGTAATTCATATCTAATGTCAACTACTATATTCTTGGTGATAACCTTCATTTCAAGTCGATGGCGATAAGTCGCCCAAAACAAGAGAAGCTCGGAGCCGTCTTTGGTGTCATCAGTGCTTTACCTCATTCTATTCCTCTTGCATCCAGAAATGTGGGGAATACGGATGAAGTATATATGTGATTCTCTAGTGGAAATGATGTATAATGGTCTCTTTTATGGTTGCCGACGATAAACATTTTGTGATGAAATAATTTTAATCTCTATCTTCTTCATGTTTACATATTGATCAAGAGAATCAGCCAGAAATGGTGGAATTGGGATTGTAGTATTATTTGATAGTTTATTATTTTTACTCTCTTTTTCAAGAGTAGTAGACATTTCTATAGTCTTTCAATGTCTAGTTCTAGAACAAGTCTTTAATATATTGCTTCATTTGAAATCTGATGGCATTTCAAGTCGTATGGGAGATAGGTACTGTTGGGGTGATTACACACTTCTGAAACGTCGTAGGAGGCTTGTTGGAGATGCACATCCCCTCAGGGTTTTCTACTTTTCTTACTGGAATAAATTATGGCTTCTAGGTGTGGCGCCCAAGGTGAAAGTTTGCGTTTGGAGGGCCTTCCAAGGATTCTCCCAACCACTTCATCATTGATTCGGAGGAGAGTCGAGGTTGTGGGTGCTTGTCTAATTTGTAGTGCTAGTATGGAGTCGATGGAGCATATCTTTATGTTTTGTCACTTCGCAAAATCTATTTGGAGACTACTCAAGTTGATGAGTGATGCATAGATTCCTAGCGTGACATTAATGCCAAAAATCCTTGCTCAAAAAAGTGATGTGGATGGAAGGAAAATGGAAAGTGTAGCAGCTGATGTTGTGTTCTTTTGAAGTTCAATATGTCTTGGCCCCCAATTAAAATTGAAAAGACCCCAACTAAAATTTGTTTCATGGTACATTACTCATTATATACATAGTAAAAATTCACATGTCTAGTTGTGTTCATTGGCATGATTTCATCTGAATTCTTAAAAATCTAGTCTATATGATCTCATCTTGATCAGATTGAATCTAATCTCATTATAGTTATACTCCGTATTAAAATTATTTCTGATTTGATCTAGTTTCATCTAAATAAATCTAATCTAATTTGGTCTTAATAAAAATAAACAATAAATTGAAAAAATAAGTTAAACAGAAAGAACCTTCTATTTAAAAACTTCACATTAAAGAAATACTCCCTCCGTCCCTCTAAGATGTTCTCATTTTGACTTTTGGTGGTTTTTAAGGAGAGCTGAAAAAAGATGAAAGTTTACCATAATACCCTTAATGAAAAATGGGTAGAGTGTATTAAATGAGGCGTGTGAGGTGTAATAAATAAAGTAAGTGGGGATAATTGTGGTATTTTACTTGTTAAAAAATGAAATGAGAAGATCTATTGTGGACAAAGAAAAAGGGCTATTGGAAAGATCTATGGGGACAGAGAGAGTATTTGGGAAATAAAATTCATTATTTGTTATTCTCCCTCCCTCCCTAAATCATTTATTTTTCACGCAAAACAAAGTAAAATCTTAAGTCTTCATTTCATTTTACATAAAAACTAGTATATAAATAAAAAAAAAATAGAACTTACATATTACATGAAAAATTTTACTACCTTCATCCCTGAGTATTTGTCCAGTTTTAATTTTTTCAATCAATTATTTTCAATCTTTGACATTTAATTACATAAAATATATATTGTATTCTAATTAGGTAAATTAATATTTTGAAAATATTTCAGATAATTATCTAATAAAACTATCTTTGTATCAATATCTAATATTATTTTTATTTAATTTAAGATCAAAGTTTACCAATTTTATCAAAAAAGTCAAAAGTGGACAAATACTCAGGGACAGAGGAAGTACAAAATAAGAGGTGACAAAAATATTTAATTTCGTCAAATAGTCAATAAAAACACACAAATAAACAAAAATTCACGTAATTTTGGAATAGTAAACTGTGTAAATCATTTAGGGCCGGAGGGAGTATTATTTCATATTGCCTTATAAAAACTTTCTAAAGACCCTGCACCTTGACCCACAAGTATCTGAATTGCTAGGCCAGGGCAATGTAATAAACTTGATTGTGGATGTGCAATACTCCCTACTTAGGGGTACTTTAGGAGTCATACTGCCAATTAATTGAGTCTTAAGTGTCTTTAATTGTGATATTAACACTCATTTCTTGGTCTTTAATTGTCTTTGATGTACTTAAGTATAGAAAGAAGTATAGCTAGAAGATTAGGGGCTGTTTGTTTCAGCCTCTTAATGGTTCAGATGTCTGAATGGTTCAGCACTTAATGGTTCAGACTATTTGTTTCAGCCTCTTAATGGTTCAGATGTCTGAATGGTTAAGAGATTTGTCTCTGAATGGTTAAGTATTATACAGAGTCTGAATGGTTAAGACCTCTTATCTGAATTGATCAGACATTTGCCTCTGAATAGTTAAGTAATATACTAGCTCTTAATGGTTCAGACCTCTTACTGGTTCAGCACTTAATGGTTCAGACCTCTTACTGGTTCAGCACTTATCGATTCAGAAGTTGCCAAACAGCCCCTAACTATAGTCCACCATAAATGTAGCTTTTCAGCTCCTTAGCAGCCATGCTTTCCAACCAGGACAGCACAAAATCAAGGGCAGATGTCACAGCCGACTCCCTGCAGTTAAATATATTACAACATATATTTAAAGAAATTAGTATATGTTAAAAAATATACTCCATTCGTCCCAAAAAATGTTCCTATTTTGACTTTAAGGAAATTTAAGGAAGAGATACTTTTGGGTTGACTTTCCAAAAATATTGATTATTAATAAAAAGGTATGATGTGATAGGTAAGTTGAGAATTAGTAGGGACAAAAGTGGGTTTTTAATAGAAACGGGAAGGAATTTATGGGACAAGTAAAAAAAGAAAGGTGAAAAAGTTTTTGGGACGGTGGGACTATTAGGACCATATGAAAATGCAAAAATGAAGAATACTTTCAATGTTTCACTAAGCTTAAGCTTCAATGGTACAGTCTCTATATCCCTTTTTTTTTTGCTCCAAATGATGATATAAATAAAGGTGCCAATCACTTACCTGCTAGTATAGAGATCCCATATTCTAATGCTACTGCGAGCCCCAGTAGAAATATTGATCCCCATTCTCATCATATTGTCATCATCATGCCACTTTTTTATAGTAGACATGACATCAAATCCATTGTTTTCGGCCAAAATGGCCGGAACCACTAGAAGGGAATCGGCGAACTTGAGCAAGGCTTCCCTGTGATCGCTTTGAGCCCTAATACAATACACCAAGAAACATAATCACAAGCATGTTAGATTTTGTGGGCAACCTTGATGCAATACGGAGTAAAATAGCGACTATCTGCTATGTCACAAAAAAAAATTGATGCTTCTTAACGAGTACTTTTGTCGTGGTTTACTCCAAAGGCTAAGTCAGAGAATATTGGTCTTCACAAATGAACATCAACTCGACTCCTCTTAACTTATACGAGTAATCTTTTAAGCCTGAATATTGTTTCTTGTCATCTCACCCCCCCTTCAAAAGTAAAAATGTAGTTGAAATCTATCTTGATGCACGCCAACAATGTAAATTGTAGATTTTGATACCCATAATAGGAAACACAACTTTTTCCTGATATCCAAAACAAGGAACAAACAAAAACTGATTTCATCAAAGGAATCCAGTGGGACTTATGCAATTCAAATAAGATAGCTTATCTGCAATTGCATACATTGTTGGTGATCATATTATCACAAAATAGAAAACACAAGTTGTATCAAAAACAGAAATGATGAAAGAGGTATACACTGACCGCCATGCAAATTCTCTCAATTCCTTGTATAGTACAAAGTCACTGGCTCCAGCTCCAGCCATAACCCGACTATCCTTGCACATCAACTGGAAGCATTTGATTTCATATATTCTTAGAAAAATCATACAATGAAAACAGTCTTCTGAAAAAATTTAACATGGTGTCAAAAAAGAGTTATGCACTCATACCTATCCCAACACATCAGTGTTCTAAAAGTGGCTTAGGTGGCTACCTAGGCCAAATCGCTTCAATTATGTACTAACCGCCTAGGCAGTCCAATTTGTTGTTATGTACTCCTCAGTGGTCAAAGTCAGAGGTATCAAGCTTAATTTTTTCTAACAATGTCTCCAATAACCGATTCATTATTTTCAAGCCCTTTCTCTTTTTTGTACAATCCATGTTCATACTTGAAATCGGATATAATCGGTGTTCAGATTTCAGCATCTCCAAAACAGACTTGGCTGAAAAACTTTTACTGGTTGTGAAACTTCATAATGAAAATAGATGAAGTAAATTACTTCAATGTATTATCTTTTTAACATGTGGAAAATGGAAATCTGAATTTCATGGGGGTCTTCACTTGTAATTTGTAAATTATGATTTCTGGTTAACACATACTTTGTATTAGTTTGGTTTAAATTTCATATTATGAAACCAGCTTTACACTAGTTTTGTTCAAAAGATATTAAAAATACTATTCGTAAAGGTGTATTAACTAGTGTTATTCTCGAATTTACTCCGTAAACTTGAATAACATTCAATAGTCCACATTCGCACATTTCAAGAAATATTGTAGTGGCCCCACACAACTCGACGACCACCCATCTTGAATAACCTGTAATAGAAAGAGAAAAAAGTTTTAACTAAAAGAACTTGTATGATCATTGTATGAGCAAATAAAAATATTAACCTTTGATTCTTTGAAATTCATGGATTTCTTCCGTCTAAAGTGAATTTGCTCAGAATTGAAATCCGATGACATCTCAGGACACATTGCAATACATGCGTCCGTGATAAGATTTCGTAAAAAAATTGTTTAAAAAGCTTGGCTGCTACAGATGAAAGAAGAAGGTTGTACACATCTTTCTTGTTTCTCACGTCCAACAATTTTTTTGAAGCCAAATTATTGAGCTCCGCTTTCAGCTGTGCCTTAAACTCCTTGAAGGCGTCGACAAAAGTAGCAATTGGCGTAGGTTTTGCCCTCACACGAGTGGCAGCCTGGAGCAACTGCAATGCTAGCACAATTAAGTAGTTTGCTCTCGCACCAAAATGTTCTCTCTGAGTATTAGCTGCAGCTAAAAGTTTTATAGCAATACGTGGTGAACGAAGCTCCATGTTAGAATGTTCTTCTGAGAAACAACAAATTTACAGAGTCCTGCATTTTATGCATTGTATACAATATAAATCAATATTATGTTGCGATTAAAAAATTAGGAATGGCTATTGAGTACCCACATGAAGAAAAAATTGTTTTTTGAACTACAAAGAAACGAAGCTTTTTTGAGAACTAAAAAGTTGACGAGTCATTTGCCCCCAGTTTTCTTTCCCTCTAAGCAAAAGACTCGTCAACTTTTCTTCTCTTTTCGTCCAATTTCTTTTTACATTTCCATCTATCCAAATCCCCACAATATCTTTCTTTATTCTACATGTAAGATCATTCGCAGTACATGATCCGTCGTGGCAATATCATTCAAAAGCTTCGTTTCTTTGTAGTTCAAAAAAGACAATTTTTTTTCTTCATGTGGGTAATCAATAGTCATTCCTAATTTGTTAATCGCAAAATAATATTGATCTGTATTGTATACAATGCAAAGGACTCTGTAAATTTGTTGTAGACCATTTATTCTCAGAAAAACACTCTAGCATAGAGCCTTGTTCACCACGTACTGCTGCAAAACTTTTAACTGCAGCTAATACTCAGAGAGAACATTATGGTGTGGGAGCAAACTACTTAATGGTGCTAGCATTGCAGTTGCTCGAGGCCGCCACCAGTCTGACGACAAAACCTGTGCAGTATGCTACTTTAGTCGACGACTTCAAGATGTTTAAGGCACACGTGAAAGCGGAGCTCAATGTTTTGGCCTCAAAAAAATTGTTGGACGTGAGGAACAAGAAAGATGTGTACAACCTTCTTTTATCTGTAGTAGCAAAACTTTTTAATCAATTTTTTTACGAATCTTATCACGAACGCATGTACTTCAATGTGCAATGTGTCCTGAGATGTCATCGGATTTCAATCTTGAGCAAATTCAGTTGATACAGAAGAAATCCAAAAATTTCACAGAATCAAAAGTTAATATTCTTATTTCCCCATTCAATGATCATACAGGTTCTTTCAGTTAAACTTTAATTTGTTTTCTCTTTCTATTACAGGTTATTTGAGATGGGTATTCTGCGGTCGTCGAGTTTTGAGGGCCCACTACAACATTTCTTGACATGTGCGAATGTAGACTATTCAATACAGTTCAAGTTTACGGGGTAAGTTCGAGAATAACACTAGTTAATACACCTTTACGAATAATATTTTTGATATCTTTTAAACATAACTAGTGTAAAGCTGATTTCAAAATATGAAATTCAAACCAAACTTATACAGAGTATGTGTTAACCAGAAATCATAATTCCTTTTGCGGAGGGGCAAAAAGACTATTTTATCTTTGTAAGTAAAATAAAATGAAGCAGTTGAAGATAAAGAGAAAAATCAAAATTGAGTAAATCTAAACTCATTTCTACTTGATTGTACGTGAGTAGGTTCTAAACTGGAAAATATGCACCAGACCGCCATTCACAGAAATCGATGTCCATCGTCTTGTTGTTTCCAGGCAAAGAACGATCATTATACGGATTCAGATGATTCCCAAAATAGAGCCGCTGACAAGGACTTCCTTGAAAAAGCGTTCATTTGAATAAAGACGAGGATAGTCCTACCGATGATACTACTAGGCCGAGTCGGCCGAGGAGAATAATGATGATGAAGATAGCGGCTCTGGTACTACCGATGACGAGGATGATGGCTCTGAGACCTGACGTGACATATTTCAACTGATAAAAAATAATTCAGTCAGCGTGTGGCACATCGGTATAATGACAAACTTTATATTTCCATCCATCCAAATCCCTACAATATCCTTTGTAATGACAAAAATAATGTCTTGCCACTGCAAAGTTTGTCATTCCACTAATGTGCCACACGCTGACTGAATTATTTTTTATTGGTGTAAATATGCCTTGTGAGCCACCATCCTCATCATCTTCGGTACCAGATCCGTCATCTTCATCGTCTTCCTCGGCAGGCTTGGCATAGTAGTACTCCATCTATCATCGATTGGACTATCCTCGTCTTTATCCAAATGATACGGCTTTTCTGGAAAGTCCTTGACAGCAGCTCTGTTTTGAGAATCATCTGAATCTGTATCGTTCTTCGTCCGGAAACAAGAAGACGATGGTAATTGATTTTCGAGAGTGATGGTCTGGTGCATTTTTTTAGCTTAGAACTCACTCACGCACAAACAAGCAGAAATGGGTATAGATTTACTCAATTTCTGATTTTTCTCTTTATCTTCAACTACTTCATGTTTTTTTTACTTACAAAGATAAAATAGACCTTTTGCCCCTCAACTTTCTTTCCCTCCAAGCAAAAGAATCGTCAACTTTTCCTCTCTTTCCACCCAATCCCTTTTTACATTTCCATCCATCCAAATCTCTACAATATCCTTCGTAATTCCACATGTAAGATCACCCGCAGTACATGATCCGTCGTTTGCTCCGAAACATAAACATCAGAGTTCTCATTATCAAAAGTGAAATCACATTCATTGTCCATCAAAGTATCATTAACTCCCTTTTGATCTTCATAAGATATCCATTCAGTGGGGTTTGAAAGTGGAGTAGGCAAAGGCATGCACAGATAAGTTTTATCTCCTTCTGGCATGAGTTTATAGGTAGTGAAATTGTTGGACTTGGGATATTCTGAACCTCCCACTTCTTTGACCTCTTCTTTCAACCTAGCAAATCAATGGCTTGTGCTATCCTAGTAGGTTTGAAGATTTTGACAAACAATTTAACACTTGGGTTCAGCCCTTCAATAAAATAGTCAAGTATATGAGAATCAGGTTGAACCAATTCAGACCTATAATCTTCAGATTCATCAATGTAGGATTCAAGAGATCCATTCTGTTCTAGTTTCTTAAATTGTTCTACAACACTATACCATCATCATCCCTGGATTTGGAACTTAAATCCATGATGAATTCATGCCATGAAACATACTTCTTAAAAGACATATAGCTACTAATCCAAATTTATGCCTTATCTACCATATGCAAACTAGCTATGTCAACCCACTTCTCATGGAGAATTTCACATAGGCTCCATTTGGTACACGGAATTCAAACCATGAAATTGAGGACAACAATTCCAATTCTACTGTTTGGTAACACAAAAATAAATATGTGTATTTGAAATTGGTAGTGCCAAAAATGAATTGGAATTGGAGAATTTGATTCCGTGCGAATCAATTCCATAGAATTTCAATTTCCAATTCAATTTCAATTCCATCAATTCCGTGTACCAAACGGACCCATAGAGTAAAGTACTTACAGGTTTACTTGATCCAAATTCTGGTGTTGCTGCCATCGAATTTGGGAAATTCCAGATTTGGATTTAAGTTGGGAGATGTAGCATTCGATTGCCTTCCTTCACCACCTGACGAGAAATAGACTTCCTTCTCCTTGCCTGATTTTGTTCCCAATTTCTTCAAGATTAACATGATCTGATCCAACTTCATGTCTTGAGCGTTGATCTTTTCTTCGATTCCTATAAATCTGTCTTCCATGATCTTCAATTGAGCTTCCATGGCTACACAATTGCGATCTTGATTCAAACGTAGGCTAGCCATCGTGAATCGAACAGGAAACAGGCTCCGATACCAATGTTATAGCAAGAAGATCTTGCTAGAAGAAATGAACACGAGGCTGGTAATCGTCTAAGATTTTTTTGGATCTTAACGGGTTTCTTTGAGTGTTTTCTTTTCTTTGAAGTTCTCTCGTTTCTTTTATAGTATATTTGGGAACATGGATTTTGGATTTCAAATTTAGATTTTGCTCTAATTCTATATTTGGGAAATTAAAAAATTTTAAATTTGGATTTGAGTCAAATTCTTCTCATTCATAACAAAACTTATTTTGAAATCCATGTATTTACCCTTGTCATTTGACATTCAAGATTTCAAAATTTGGAATTGAAATACATGAATTGAAATGAAATGCTAGTTGCCAAACACTATCTTAGTTTTTTCTAATTATTTTTATTTTCTTCAAACTCTTTCTAATTCTCAATCAATTACTTTAATATTGATATATTTTAAATGTAATTATTATTATTAATATTACAATTATAATGTTCATAACTATAGTTTATAAATTATTTTTTTCATCACACTATTTTTACGATTCGCGCACGTTATTATTTTTTCTTCAATTTTTAATATGATAAAGATAATTTTTGTATATTAATCTACATAATAAAATAAATAAACATCAATATTTTAAACTATAAGAAAAAATTATGGATAAAATAGTTACATAGAATGTTTTATTAATCTAACTTTATATAAGACCCCTCACCTTTCTCTTTATTACTCAACTTTTTCTCATTTTTATTTATTTCAAAGTTTGATTTTGTTTTTTATTTTTCTAATTTTATAAAAAAAAATTAAAGTCAAAAGAGTTTAAGAAAAAGGCTAAAATAGAAGTAAAACATAAAAAAAAGTACAAAAATAAAAGTTCTTTGTCTTTATTCCAAAAATAAGAGTTACAATGAAAATAAAATGACAATCATGCAAGAAAAATAGGTTCGATTACATTATGTGACATGTTTGATATTTAAAACAAAATCTTGTAATATATGAGGTATAATAAAAAATATATTATTTTATAATAAATACTGCATGAATAAATTGAGGTGCAACGTAACCACAATAACTTTTTAAAATTTAAGATTTTGATATTTATGTTTTTTGCAAAAGTAGTACGAGTAGTTTTTTTTGTCTATGCAAAATAACAATACGTTTTTTATTTTAAAAGTATTTATTAAGATAACGTGATTATGATGATGATGATGATGATGATGATGATGATGATGATGATGATGATGATGATAATAATAATAATAATAATCACATTTAAAGTTTTTCCAATTTTTTGAAGTTTTTCCAATTTCTTCCAGTTTCTTCCAACATATAGCTCTTTTTTTCCAGTCCTAAAGAACAGACTCTGTGAGAGAGAGAGAGAAGAGAGATAGATTCAAGAGAGAAGAATGCTAACTGGTGGTTTGTTGGATTTAATTGGATCGTTGTTATTGTTGAACTTTTTGACACATTTAGCAGGATTTTTGACACATTAGAGCTAACTGGGTTCCTAACTTGAAAGTTTTGACGGTTTCATTGGAGCTAACTGGGGTTCCTAACTTGAAAGTACTCAGAGAGATAGATTCCAGACCTAATCTCGTGAAATTTAATTGGGTTGTTGTTATTGTTGAACTTTTTGCAACCTTGTGGTTTGTTTTAGTACTAGGTTGATTTTGCTTCTTTGTAACCCCCATATAGTTTATTTATCTACTTGGCTTTTATCCATTTTTTAAATCATTTGTTGTCATTTTACATCAACTCATTTACTCTTTATGCAATTTTTTGTTGCCATCTTTTGAACTTATATCCACATATGGCAATGAATAATCCTGCTAAATGTGTCAAAAAATTACTCTGAGGTGTTGTGGATTTTGTTGAAATAATTATGAGGTCCATGTATTTTCAAGAAACCATTAGCAACCTCTGTTAGTAGAGGATTTTTTAGGTAGAAATAAGAGTGAAATGGTAAAAAAGGGTATTACTTGTAGTTGCGTGATATATTTTGAGAAAATTTTAAAAAAATTTTCTCTGTATTTGGTTGCATAAGTAGTAAAAAATCTTTTTTTAAGAAAATTATTTTCTACTCGAAAAGGAGAAAATGAATTTAGTTTGATTTGAACGAAAGTTTATTTTATTACTCACTCATCGGGTCCTCTCGTTTCATGAACAAAACAAAGAACCCCCNGAGCTCTACAGTGGAGATTTGGTACCCAATCTGATAAAAACAAAATACGTTGCCGAAAATATTTTTAAACTGTAAAAGATCTTTATAAAAAGTTCTCTTTCTAAAATATTCAAATATCAAGAATGTACTAATAGAAAAAAATTCTCTTTCTTACAACTAATGCAAAATGATTTTTAGATCAAATTCTTCTTACCAAACAATTTGAAAAAAGCGGGGGAAAATATTTTTCATGAAATTCATTCTTCCATAGAAATTAATTTTCTAAGAAAAATATTCCCCCAACAAAATACTCTTGAAAAAGATGCTTGAAAAAGTGAGTAATATTAAGTGTTATAATTCCAACCTAAATAATAAACAATTAAACAATACAACAATCCCACTTCCACCTTTTGTGGCTACTGCTCTCAATCAATATGTTACATAATGTACTATATGTAACACCGCAATGCCCAAACGCAAAGCAGACAGAGATTAAAATGATTTCAGCACAAAATGCTTACCGTCCGCAACCATTGAAGAGACCATTATACCCCTTTTCCACAAGGGAATCACAGATACCTCATCCGTATTTCCCACATTTCTGGATGCAAGAGGAAGAGAATGAGGCAAAGCATTGATGACACCAAAGCCGGCTCCGGGCTTCTCTTGTTTGGGACGACTTATCGCCATCGACCTGAATTGAAGGTTATCACCAAGAATATGTTGGTTGGCATTAGGTATGAATGGTGATAAAAGTTCGTGTAAATAGACCTAAAAGCCGATTTGGCCTACTCACTATAGACTATTACTTAATTTGGTCATACATTTTTTTAAAACTCAATTTGGTAGTCGGCTATGCGATGACAAATTTAGGGCCTGTTTGGTTAGCGATATGGTTCTCATATACCAGAACTCTTTTGTGGTGTTTGGTAAAGCCTAAAAAAGGTTTAAATTTGATATCTCTCGATAGTTCAATCTTTCCAAATGAGTGTGCTTTGATATCACCCAAATTTGGGAGAACATGGTGGGTTACATTATAAATGAATGTTAAAATGTACTCTAAATAGAGCCAATAGCTTTTTTAGTCGATTCAGTATACACTTTTCGATTCGGGCATGCATATATTACTAGAAGTTAAGAGCAATATAGGATCAAGGACACTTTCAAACAAAAATGGAAGGTGAAGTTTAGGAGAGGTCATACATGGTGGCTGAATGCCCGAATGCAGACATGATAAAGCCTTGACGTTGCTTGTGCTTGGGATTAGCTGAGCATATAACATATATTACCCCATTTCGCCTTATTGTGCGGCAAAATGAGCACATTTTCTTCACAGACGAACGCACCTTCATGCCTGTCACTCACAACAATGACAATGACAAAGATTAAATGAATAATTACATCTATACCTGCTACAAAAATAACAACAAAACCAGTAAAATTTCACAAAATAGCACGGTTTCGAGAGGATATGTGTAGGCAGACTTTACCTTTCCTTGAAAGTAGAGTGGTTGTTTCCAACAAAACAAAAGAATAAATAAAGTTAACACTCAATATAGAGAATGAAAAAGAAGACCAAAGAGTCTGTATTCAATCACTCAATATCATAAATGAAAGAACCTGCATATGGTTTGCATGCAATGGAAGAGAATCAAAGATATATTTGTCAAACTCTATCTTGTTCAATGATAATAGATAAATCCCATTTTATAACATTATTTTGAATATTATAGGGTTGTTTAGAGAACTCTCAAGAACACTCTAGCAAATACAAAGAGCAAACTCAGCAAAGCAATCTATTCGTGAACGTGTGAAACACTCCCTTTGTTCCAAAATAAACATGAGTGTTTGACTTCATGAAGCTTAAGAAAAAACGTCTAAAAATGAAAAATGTGTGATTAAAATTTGTATGAATGTGGAAGAATGTATAAATATCTTCCAAACAAAAACCCTATAGAAACTCATAACACCAAAAAGATGCAATTCACCATATAACCAAATGCCCACTCCCTACTTTACACTCCAATTTGCTTTTAACAAGTCCTACACAAAATTTAAAGACAATACTTTTTTGATTGAGACTAAGTCAGAACTAAGATAATTAATGTTCTTTTAAAGATAAAGGGAAATAGTAATCAGGACTAAAAAAAGAAAAATGAAAAGAGAAAATGGTATGAACGGATTGAAACCCAGAATCCATATCAAATAACCTTAAAATTCTTGATTATATAATGTTCACAAGCCGCTTCAAACCCATTAAGTCCCACAAAGATTTAGAGAAAAAAAAATCAATTCTTTATGGTCGCTGGATTTTTTTGTTTTGTTTTGAGGGGTATGGTCACAGAATATTATAATATGCATATGTACGATAAATAAAATCCATATGCACAGTGAGAAAGGCAGAGAGATAGAGCCGAAGTACCTCAAAAGTTTTGCAAGGATGGATAATCAAATTTAAGTACTATTAATCGTGAAATTAATATTCTGAAATTCACATCCGCATCGATTTTTTGAAATTAATATTCTGAAGCTTATTGGGATAGCGGCGGCTATGTAGGACGGCGGCGATTGGGAAGGCGGCGGCGGCGATAGAGGAGGGGATGGAGAATGAGGATGGTGGAGGGGATTCAGGGAGGAGTGAGGGGGGAAGGAGAAGAGGAGCAGAAGAAAGAAATGGCACAATGAATGTGATGGAAGAAGGGAAAGATAAAAGGACAATTAGGTCGGGTCATGTTCTCTTCAGATATGGTTCTCATTTAATTAAATTTTTTTTGATATGATATAATCTAAATATAATACTCCGTAATATTTAAAATTATTTTTGATCCAATCTGGTATAATCTGATCGGGTCTGATCTAATTTCAATAGGAATAAGTAATAATTAAAAAAATAAGTTAAGGAGAAGATGATCTAAGTCTTATAATATCTAAAAAAAAGTTTAAATCAGTCCCGTTATTAAATCAAATCAATTTAGGCAGCTTTTCGTTCAAGTTAGTTTTTCTATTTCTAACTTATTGTTATTAAAACCAAATCAGATTGAACCAGACCAAAAATAACTTTAATTATAGATGCAATCAGATCAGACCAGTCCAAGTTAGGTTAGATCATATCTAATAATTCAAAAAATTATATCAAATCAGATTAGATCTAGATTGTTGGCCATTTGTGTATCAATTGTCCCGTGGTAAAGGCTATGTTGGCTAAGTCATAATCGAATATCATGGGCACTTGTGTGTTGAATGCACTATAAAACTAGGGTATGCGCCTCTTCTAACCTAATTAGTTTTATAAGAGTTGCTGCACCTAAGGTCCTACCAGGCGAACGAAACGTTATGTTAGTTCTTTTACTATTTATTTTTGTTTAATTAGATTTTTTTATTCACTTGTTTCTTAAAAGACCAATTGGTGTTTTCATTATTTTGAACTCTGAAAAAAGAGAAAAAGAATTGGAGTAGCGTGCCAAGTGCCAATCGTCGGTGGCTTCACAATATCTGTCAAGGAGCCAATTGCCACGTAGCGTTCTACCGCATCGTAGTAGTAAGATATGACTTTACATTTGTAAAACTCTATTTTTAGATTTATAGCATATGAGTAAAATAATTTCTGAACACCCATTTGTACATTTAAATTCAAAAAATTACTTCTGGATAGTCTCGATTTTCTGATAATAAGTCACGTACATGTCTCACATTTTCGAAATATATTTTGAGGTACCCCAGATTTTTTGATAAAAATTTCAAGAGCTCACATTATCTGAAATATACTCCGAAATCATTAAAATTTATGATATTATATTCAAAGGTACATTATCTCAATTTAGGCGTTAGATTAAAAGTTCATTTACTTTGACAAATTGATGAATTTTATTTTAATTTAATAAAATAAAAATTATCAATGTAAAGTTTAATGCTCCGTATTTGTCAGAATAACAAAGTTTTCAATCATAATGGTCAAATAAACGAAATGTGCCTTTGAAGTATATTACCACAAAATTTAAGGACCACTAGAGCATATTTTGGATAATGTGAGACATGAGAGTTCTTACCAAAAAAATCAGAAGTATACCAAAGTATAAAGATAATACTCCCTCCGTCCCCATGTATTTGTCCACATTTGACTTTTGGAACTGTTCATCTAAACACTTTGACTTATCAAATTCTCTCAATGTATAAGCCTAAATATAATCATCTGTGATCTTGTTTGATTTGTCTTAATATATAGATTATTAATATATAATTTTTATAATTTTTTAATATACACATTACAAGATAAAATGGATTAAAGAAATGCATTGGATGGTGTGTAAAAATGAAAGTGGACAAATACAGAGGGACGGAGGGAGTATGAGGGAATTACTACTCGAAAATCAAGATACATAGGAGCAATTTTCTACATTTAAATTTGTGGTCATTTCGGGTTACAACTTTCAACCACATTAATAGATGAAGAAGAAAAAGAATTACTATGGGCGGAGGGAGAAAAAAGAGAGAAAACTTTAACCTTATTGAGGGGACTTTGCACAAATGAGGGGGTGAAATAGTCATTTCACAATTTCAATATGAATGTGTTAATTGGTTTAGGCCTCTTTCCTTGAGGGCTGATGCGTAAATAGCCATTCTATTGGGTGGGATTTGTTGTGATTTTCCACTCTTCTTTAGTGCTGACTTTGACCACGAAATATGAGAAGCAAATGTTGACTTTTGGAAATTGCAATGCAGCCTCCTATATTCTTGGTTATTTTCACTTGGCTCCACAACATCTTTTGCAAAGTGCACCCTCTTCTTTTGGCTTCTTTCCTTCTTCTTATCTGTACAAAGATTCTTAAAATTGTTTCACCCAGAAAATATGATATGAAACTTATGTAGAGCAAACGTGAAATATTAGTCTTTTTTTTTAAAGATTTACTTAATGAAGCAATCATACCTTAATTATGAATTTACTTTAAGCGAATCTCACTAATTAAAGATGTTCTAATTGTTAAATTTTATTCTCACAAATCTATACACAAATCTATACTCCGTGCATTATTATTTTTCTCTAAATTAAATTAGCATTTTCTTTTTATCGGTCATTAAATTAAATTGTCCATTTGTCAAAATTTTCTTTAAAATAAAATATGTGATTCTTGTAACAACTTCCTCGGTTGTAAAATTAAATGGTCCATTTGCTAATCATTAAAGATCTCTTTGCAACTGCGTTACAAGTAGAGCTAACGTTTTGAAAAAAAAGTACTTTATCCGTCTCTGAAAATTCTTCTTATTTTTTTCATCCGTCCTAATAAATTTTTCTCATTTCTATTGAAAAGTCACTTTTACCCCTACTAATTTTAACCTAACTATCACATCATATGTATTCACTATTAATCTACCTATCAAATCATTTTTTTACTCATCACATCTGAGAATATTTTCGAAAACTCAACGCCTAAATATACTTTCCTTAAATCTTTTAAAAAACAAAATTTCTCATGTTTATAGGGACCGAGGGAGTATTTTATAGTAGCATTGACTTTTAGCATTTCTAAGTAAAAAAATACCACTAAAATTTTATTCAAAATCCAAATTCCAATAGAAAAATGCACTTCCTAGACAAGGCCTAGTACCTTTTCTTAAATTTCTATTGTTAAAAATTAAAATTTAACTGAAAGATGGAAAAATACTCTCTCCGTTCTAAAACTTTCTTCTCAGAGCACTATTCCAACTTCACGGAAATTTATATTTATTTGTGTTTTTTCATGGCCTATATGATAAAATAAAATATTCCTGTCACCACTTGTTTTGTTGAACTTTTGATCTAGTTTTTAAATATGTATGTTTTGTTTTTCTATTTCTATACCAATATTTAAATAAAATAGATCGAAAATTTGGAATTTTTCTTCATTTTGCGCAATGAGAAGAAAGATATAGGCCGGAGGGAGTATGAATAAATCCAATCCAAAAAGAAGGGAAAAGGCGGAAAGTGAAAGTTTCACATGCAGGGGATTCTAGAGATAGGCCCCAAAGGAATATGCGGATCCACTAAAGCCAAATACTCCGTATAGGTTAAAAAAATCTTATAGGATATCAATATCTGTTAGGTTGGCCACAGAGGTCATTCTGTTCACAAAATTGATACTCCCTCCGTCCCAAATTATTTGCCACATTTGTATTTCCGAGACAAAATATCAAGTTTTTCTAATTCATTTTATTTACATATTGGTATAAAAATAAAAAATAAAATTTACATATCAAAAAACTACATGAAAAATTCTTCGATATAAGAGGTGTCAAGAATATTTCATTTTATCAAATAACCAATGAAAACGTCGAAATAAACAAAAGTTCCCGCAACTGCTGAAAAAACAAATGTTGTGAATATTTAGGGACGGAGGGAGTAATTCTTATCCGCTTACTCCTGATAAATCCTCGTCGAGTCTTGACCCCAATCCATCCCTTACTTAAACCAATTGCACCCGTAAGTATAATTGATTTTAGAGTCAAAACTTTTGACTTTAAAATTAATAATACTTACAGGGTGCAATTGACATAGTTTAAAATACAGAGTTTTTTAATTCTCCGAGGAACAGTAGTAGTTAAGTAAAATACATTCAAGTTAATTTCTCGTCCTAAATTATGCTTTTATCATTTTCCCTTATTCAATTGCTATGTTCAAACTATTTTATCTTACACTTGCATTAATTCACCGCGGAGTAAATAATTAAGGCATAATTAGTGAGAATTTAAAACCTGATGAAGAGATGCAGGAGCGAGGAAAATGGGAAGACGGCGTCGTCTTCCCGGCGCCGCCGGGAGTTTGTCTGATCTCCGACAGCGGCGGCATAAACCTGATCTGCAGCCGGCAAGCGAGGAGGACCACCGTGCCGGAAACCGCCATGGCCGTCGTCGCCAAAACCACCGCTCTAGAAGTCAACAACATGAGGCCGCCCGCCGCTTCAATTCCCAATTTATCAAAAGATTCAATTGAATTTTAGAGAGAGAGATAAAGGAATCGTTTGGAAGAAAATTAAAGGGCGGTTGGTTGGGAAACTACGTGTGCGATTTCGCTATTCTTTAATAACAAAAAGAGAAAAGAAAAAGGAATATTAATAATGAAAGTCTAGTCAGTGTCATCTCACCAAACACGACCTTAAGTTTACTTGGTTGGCTTGAGTTTGCTTCTTTGGAAGTTGGGACGGCCAATAAACGGCGAAAATTTAATATGGTCCCGCCAATTTTCTGGCCGTTCGTTTTAACGGTTTTCTAACCGTTCCTACATGGCAAATGGGGTCTACTTTTAACTATTTTTTTAAAAAAAATGCTCTCATTTTCCTAAAATTATTTTCTCATTTAATTTTTCACGATTTTTAATATAATATTTTAGCTATTATTATGTCTATATATATATATATAATAATATATTTCAAAACAATGTATTGAAATAAATATATTGACGATAAAAAATTATATGAAAATTCAATATAATTTTTTCACAATATGAGGTCAAATTTTAAAAATTTTAACTATAAAATTTAATTGGGATGTTAATTTGATGACGGATGGAGTATTATGAAATACTCCCTCCGTCCCCCTAA